GAATTTTTCATCCAATACTGACTCCGGCCAGGGTTCCCCCTTTGGATTTCGAGAAAGATAATCTACTATACCCATATCTTTTCCTGGTAAATGAACAACCTTAAATTGGTAAGGTAATAGTCTGTCTACCCATCTAGTTAATCTAGATTGGTACGTTTTATTTGATTTATTTTCATCCAAAGCAGAGACTAGCGCTTTGTGATCTGTAGCGATTACGAATTCCTTGCCTAATAAATAGTGTTTAAATCGATCAACCGACCATACAACTGCAAGCAGTTCAAGCTCATTTGTGGAATATTTTTTTTCTTGTGTATTTAGGTACCTGGAAGCGAATGCGATTGGTATCCACTCCCCCTCAGCGTTTTGTTGTTCTAGCGATGCGCCCAGCCCACTGTGACTGGCATCACATTTCACCCTAGTGTCTAAACTGGGGTCATAATAATGAATTTTTGTTATATTCGCAACCGCTGTTTTTATTGACTCGAATATTTCCGATTGTTCTTCTTTCCATTCGAATTTTTTTACTTGAATTTTTACACTTTTGAGTTTCTTTTTCTCATTTTCTTCGCGTAATAGTGGTCTCAATTTTTCTGTTAGCGTAGCCGCATTTGGGATGAACTTGGCCAGATGATTTATACTGCCTAGAAATGATCTAAGTTGTTTCAGTGATGTTGGCGGGCTAAGTTTTAGGATCGCTTCTGTTTTTGTGATTTTAGGAGAGATTCCATCCGACGATAACTTATGCCCCAACCAATTCACTTCCTGTTGAAAAAATTCACATTTCGACAGTTTTAATGCCAAATTCTCTTTATCTAGCTTTTTTAGGACATTCATAATCAATTCTTCATGTTCTTGTTCACTCCCTTTTGATACAATAAGTATATCATCAAGAAAACAGAACGTGTTTTCCGCATGATTTAATGTTCTGTCCATAGCTTTTTGAAACTCTGCTGGCATGTCTGCCAAACCATAAAACCCTGTTAAGAATCTGTATGTACCAGTGGCTTGCCCACCTATGATGTTGAAATTGCATTGTTTCGCTGTCTCTGCAGTCAACTTTAATTGACTGTACGCGTACTTCAAATCTAGTACTGAGAAATACAGTTTCCCGTTTGTGTTCGCTGCGACAATTTGGCTAACACCGTCTATCAATTCATCCACATTTGGCATTTGATATTTGTTTTTAAACAATTGTCTATTGATGGGTTTGGCGTCTAGCGCCAACTTTATGGAATCATCTTTTTTCACGGTTATTACAATAGGTGCTATAAAACAATCACTAGTGCATTTGTCTAATCGTTCTATATGCCCTTCTTTTAACAGTTTTTCCATTTCCTCGTACACTTTCTCTTGTATGTGTATCGGAATGCGTCTCCCCTTTTCTTGTAAAGGGCAGAGTGGGTACTTGAACTTTGTGCTAACCACATGATTTTTTGAGCACCCTTGACGATCGAAAAGATTCTTAAATTTACTGTAAAATTTGTTTTTCCAACCTTCTGACTGTTCGCACAGTAAGACATCAAACCTCGTCTTTTCTTTTGGTGCCAACTTCTGTGTTGTGTGTATTCCCACTTTGCTCTGTAAATCCAGCCCCAAAATACACCGTGTGCGTCTTTCTGTGATTAAGAACGATGCTCCCACCACTTCCCACCCCGCCGAACGGATGTTCGTGGTGATTGCACCCAGTATGTTAATCGGCTGCTTGTTGTAGTCTACAAATTTTGTAGTCAAATTGAGATTCTCCCGTGGAATAAACTTGGTATTTTTCGAAGATTCTAGAATCATCTTTGCAGTCGCCCAGTTCAAGAAAGATACTGGACTACCCGTATCGATGGTCATATTTATGATCTGATGATCGATTCTCACCAGAGCCTTTAGTGACCTTATTTGTTTCGATCGAGTATTTCTTCTGATGTCAACCATCTGTACATCCTTTCTGTGCTTGTCGGTTTCTTTATTTTTATTCGATTGCCCTTTTATATATTCATCAATTTCTTCCAGCGAAGATAGTTCTGATTCGATCGACATAATTTCGAATTCCTCACACGATGCGAATGACTGAATCAGGTTACACTCTTCATCTGAGCTTGATGATTTTTCTGCAATCTCATTCACTTGTTGTGATTTACACATTTTAGCGAAATGGTTCGGTTTAGAACAATTCTTACATGTTTTACCCATGGCCGGGCATTTCTTCAGATGTCTTCTCCGAATATTCGACCACATCGGGTACACGTCTTTGAATCTGCAAAACTTCTCCCCTCCTTTCTGTCTGCAAATTTCTTTCTATACCCACTGTTTGCTTGTCTTCTTCCGCTAGCATTCTTGTTACCGATACTCATTATGGGTTCTTGTTTTATCTTCGCTGCCCCATTTATCTGAACTGTACTTGCAGTTGTTGCGTTAGTTTTCTGAAACGCCTGTGTTGTCTGTTTACTTTGTTCAAACTTTAACGCTCTTTTCAGTACTTCTTCCGGTGAAAATGTTTCAAATGTCAATGTGTCTTGTAATACCACATTCTTCATTTTTGAGATGAATAGGTCCCGCACTAATTGATCCTCCAGTGTTCCTAGCTCAGCTTTTGCTGCTTGTGCAGTTAATGCTGCATGAAATGCCTCGAGTGTTTCTCCAGTTTCTTGTGATCGATTGAATAGTTTATAACGTTCATATGTAACACTCTGTGATTTGTCAAATGACACTTTCGCCAAGGCCACCATCTCTCGAAATTCTAACTTTGACACTTCCACATGGGGGTTCTTTTGGACGAATTTCTTCTTACCTTCTGTACCCAACGCCAGGAATAGTCGGGAAGCGACTCTTTTCTGTACCTCGTTGTAGTATACGTTGTGACCAACCTTTGGACCTCTAGCTCTTCTTTCTTCATTTTCCAGGTTAATTTTATCTCTAGCTAGTTGATCTCGGGCTTCTCTATCGGCAGTCGCTTGTGCATTTTCGTTTTCTCTTGGAGTTTCGGGTCTTGGTAACTGTTCTAAATGAACTTCTTTTGGTTCTTGTAACAAAAGTTCCGGGTCCACACTCCTTCACGGTCACGGCCAAAAAAAATTGATCTAGCCATATCCTAAAATTCCAGGGAGGGTCAGAGTTCGCGGTTGTCCAAAATACTGGAATCCCCATGTCCGTTCTGTTGTCTTGGGACAGGAATCCTGCTGGCTGCGCCATGTGATAGCTTTTGGATTTACTCAAGTACTTGTAAAACAGAATAAGTAAAACGTTTTAATTTAGACTGCTAACTTGTCTTATTTTAGATCTGAGATCATGCTTGTCTTTTCATGTCTCTATCTCAACAGCAATGTCCTAACTGACTATTGCGCTTGGCCTGCATGAACGGCCTTGAATAGTAATAACAATACATAACAGAATAATTAATAGCACTATTCTCAGAGGTTACTGTGGCAGCAGTACTACACGGTACCAAAATTTTTGCTACTCATTCGTTTCTTGAATGATTGATGATATCGAATACAGTGTTCACATGTCTTTTTGAGACAAGCGGGAAGACTGAGGGAAGTAGTAAGCTATAAACTGCGAGACGCTGGGAAAAAAATCCAAAAACGAGAATGTAGCCTTTTTTGATTTACCTAATAAAATTAGTTTTCTAATTACACTTGCGAAACGAGTGTATTAGTACGAACCTTCTTTTTTTTCTAAGCGAAGTCGCAATTTTCGGTGCCACTTTTGGAGCACCTTAACAGCTTTTTCATAGCTTGTGCTTTGACATTCGAATAGTAATAAGTTAACATATTTGATGCTTTTTTAATTCATCAAATGAACCGAAAAAAATTATTTGTTTCAAACAACATAACGATAATGAAAACTCGATTTCAGAAATTTTCGAACTCAATATATCTCGCAATTTTTTAAAATGCATAATTTATACTTAATTTGGCTTTAAGCTTTGCGATTTGTTACATGCAAAGTTAGTGTGGATAACTTCAGTTTGTTTTATTCTTAAATTATTATCTGCAAAATTTAGTCCATTTGTATTTGGTGCCATTTTTGCTGAACTGCATTGGCAATTTATTAGCATATGTAGCTGCTTTATTCGTGACTAGTGTTGGGCGGTTGTTAAGCTTGGGTGGCTGAGTGGATAGAGCGTGAGGCTCAAAATCTCTTTATTGCAGTAAGTCGCAGATTCGAATCCTAGCCGATTTTTGGCTAACTCGAGGCTTATATCAACTTTTTCTTCTTTCACTTAATATTGCTGATTTTTGGTCGTGTTCTTGCAAGTGTCTGCGAAGCGCAGCTTCGCCTTTGTGTAAAAAATTGTGGACGAACAATGTCGTATAGTTTTTAAGGCGTAGTTTTCGATGCTGCATAGTTCCAGTTTCAAGTTATTGGTGGAAAAATTGATGATTTTTCAATTTTTTGTGCTCTGCTCCTACCTGTTCCCTGCTTGCATTCCCAAACCCCCCGCCCGTAGAGTGATCTAGGCAAATAACTACTACTGAGGGACTAGTTTTAGCTGAGAGAGAACGCTTGCATATAAATTGATAGGTTATTTCTTCCATTAACTGGTGGTGCTTTACTGAGCCTAAATAATAAATTAACATTCCTCTTCAATTATATCTGCGATGTGTGAGCCAGAAGCCAATAGTTGATTGGATTGGTAATTTTAATGGTTGTGGATAGTTAATTTAATTGTTTGTATTGAAATTTACTTTTTCAATTCTGTTTTTATCTGAAGGTAATCAATTACTGAATTGATCGATAATATACAGTGTGTTTAGAGTGATTATGAAGATGTCGGTTATTCGCCCTAGTTTAGTTGTTTTTCTGATGGTTGCCACAGTTTCCCCCTTTATTTGCACAGTATTCTCCTTGAACAATCCCTCCAGTTTAGAAAGTAATCCTACACTCTTCACTGCAAGTTACGAAAACTGAAAATTAAAACGGCTTTTTTGCTATTGGGCTGTTGAATAGGGGTTGTAAAGAGGTCGTGTATTAATTTGGAGTTAGTGTTTAATAATAATTTCAGATTGGATTTTGAGTGCGGTGTAATGAAGATGGTCCTCGCTTGTTCGTCCCTTAGTAGAGTTAGTTCAATGATTACTTTCGCAGTTGTCGTTGTGGTGGTGTTTGTGCCTGCAGTGACTCATGCTCTCTACTTCCACATATCGGAGACGGAGAGAAAGTGTTTCATCGAAGAAGTGCCTGACGAAACTCTGGTCAAAGGTCACATACTTTTCAATATTCTTTTCCGAGAGTCATGTTTGTGTAGTCAATAACAATAATGGAATGATAGTTTTGAGATTTTATGTTTGATGCCTGCAGTCGGACAGGGTGAAACTGTCCGCCTATGGTCTTGTATGCTATGGTCACTCTAGCACCTTTCTAATTTCCATTGTTAAGTGGTTGAATCATACTGAAACCTTGAAGCTGTTCAATCTTGATACTAAGTATATTAAACAGGTATGCAATTTATAAGTTGAATTCAATTTGAATGTTAAATTGTTCAGGTAATTACAAGACAATGATCCAGAATACCCAGACAAACGAGTTCCTACCGCCCAGTCAGGGCATCGGGATGCACGTGGACGTCCGAGATCCCAACGACAAGATGGTTTTGAGTCGGACGTACTCGGCCCAGGGCCAGTTCACATTCATATCGCACATACCTGGCGAACACGTGATCTGTCTGTACTCGAACACGAGCAAGTGGTTCGGAGGGGCCAAACTGAGAGTGTACCTGGACATTCAGGTGGGGGAGCATGCGAATAACTACCAGGAGATAGCCTCGAAGGATAAACTGTCTGAGTTGCAACTGCGGATGCGACAGTTGAATGACCAGGTGCAGCAGATACAGAAGGAACAAAATTACCAGAGGGTTAGTTAGCTTATACATAATTATAAATGGAAAATTTTTTAGAGGTCTAAAAAGGCGCCAACATCAACAATCAAGAAATTTTTTCGGGAAAAAATGGTGTTAAAAAATTGTTTGGGCCAAGATAATCTGTTGTTGCTGCATTATGATCTCACAAATTTTCGATGAAGAGGGTCTTTTGGATTTAGGCGCTATAGTTGGTCAACCTGATTTGGGGGCACCTTCAGGTATTTGACCTCATTGTCCAGAGGTCTTTGTAGTGTTTTTGGAGAGCACTGAAAATCAATTTTATTGATTTAAAAACCCGCCCCGCCCTCGAAAAAATCCTAGATCCGTTTCTGCACCCTAATTTACTTAAATTATTGATTAAATGTAAGTGGTCAAGGGGGTGTTGTGTCTGAAGCTTTCTTGCTTTATTTTATTTTATTTCTAGACGAACTATATACGCACGCTTGAGTTTGTTTGAAAAACAAAAGCCTTGTTTGTTTTAGCAACGCGAGAAGAGATTCCGAGACACTAGCGAGTCCACTAGTCAGCGAGTGATTGTGTGGGCCATGTTCCAACTGGTCATCCTGGTCGCGCTCGGATTCTGGCAAGTGCAGCACCTCAAGAAGTTCTTTATCGCCAAGAAGCTCGTCTGATTGAAGTGAACCAAAGACCATCTTACCAACATCACTACTAGGCGTTCTCGGCAGTCTAATTTAAACAAAAATGCAGAAACTGTGTTCTTATGGATAGTGTATATCATTTTCGGACAAAAGTCGGAATTACAAAGAGGTCTTGTGTATATGTAACACAAAAAAAAACAACTGGCGTGCATTAAAAGAAAGAGCCTATAGAATGAATCAAAACTACGAATGAAAGAATGGACTAGTAAAAAACTCTTAGCGTTAGACTGCATAATTGAAGTACTTTTTTTGGAAATCGCGCAGTAATTCTCAATTGAATGACCGTTTTTAAAACAATTCGAGTTGTGAATTTATCGTTGTAATCATCCATAGCTTGAAAACATATTGCTTGAAACAATATTGTACTTTTTTTTCAGTTATTTTGAAAATATGAGCTTTTGAGTCGAGCATATGGCAATTACAACCAATTTGGTGTAATCATAACCGCTTTATTTGGTTGAATGATGAAATTGATGTAAATTACGTGTTTTGACTTTACATAAGGCGATGGGTTGAGTTAATAATATTTTTATGTCCTGGTTTTTTGTTTCATTTTACTCCATTTGACGCAATCAATTTTTGGAGTCAAACAAAAAGAGCATTTCAATTGGTATCAATAAATTGATTTGAATAATTTCGTCTCTTGTCTTTGCAGGCGCTCCCTGTTATTATATCATTTTTGTCTTTTGAGAAGTTGTTCCTATGGAGTATTTCATTTATTTGTAAATTCAGCTTATATAAATTTAAATTCATTATGCGGTTTTTCAAACTGGTGAGTTGAGAGTGGTAGCATGAAATGGAGAAAAACTTATTAAATATTGATTCGTGGCAAGTTTCCAACTTGATGATCAGAAATGTGCACGTGAATATTAACTGAAACTGTTTCATCTTTATTTTTTGCATCGTTACCGCAAATTTATTATTAGCGAGTAAATTTGTAAAAATTAGCGAATAAAAGCGGAAATAAATTACATTTGAAAGAGCTCGTAGCTTTGATCAGGTAAGAAGCATACTTGTTGAAGACACATTTACTTTACTTTTTGATAAAATAACTAATCATCTTTGACAACGGATCGAGCGGGTTATAAGTTGAAACATTGTCGACTCATATTTAGGTTTGGCTTTTTTTGTTTCGTCGAGGTTACTGGAAATCACAAGGGAAACGTATTTCTCTAAAAAAAACTTGTTCTTTTCCCAGACGAGATATGCTGTGGCAACCTCAGATTGATGTTAGTTTAAGTGAAAACATGTCACGAAGTTCCGGCTTTCAAAATAACGGCTGAAAATAATCTACCAGCAAAAATGCAGAAAACTAGTGTGCTGGGGTTTAAAAAAGACTATTTTAGTATTCTTGTGGAGTTCAGTTAGAACCATTCATAGTTGTTAACATACTTATTGGGCGTCCTTAATTTCTAAAAATTTTCTGACCTTTAAGCAAAAACAAATTCTAGATAGTTGTTTGAAGTCACGCGGTTGGCTTTTTTTGCAGAGCGCTGCTGAATGAATATTGTTTTGAAGTTATGGGCCTGAAGTTATTAACTTACTTTGTCAGCATGTCAATTCTCATAAAACATTCCAATTATGTCCGCAAGAACATTTTCAGTGGAAACTCCCAGGTGAGGGCTAAGTAAAAAGGAACGCAAGATAATTGAAAAGCCAAGACGAGATTATTTATGGCGCGGACATGATTATTGATATATTGATTATCATTTTAGTCAATCATGTCCAGTGTTCTCTGATGCTAATGGTGAACATATTTTTGAGAGATTTTTGTTGTTTTAATTTCTCTCAGTTTTAATTTCTGCAGAATCTCGAACTTCAAAATGGTTCATTTCTTTCGGAAAGTTGCCAATGTTAAGTATTGTTGCTGCGGCTGGATTAGGAAAAAATGCTACAAGACTGATTTTTTTTTGCTTCGAAAAACTTAGTGGCTCAGTATTTTGATCAATGTGCTCGACTTTCAATTCCACCAAAACCGATTAAGACAAAACAAATTGAAGTGAATATTAAATTTTAAATTTATTTTGAAAATCCGCGCCCCCCCCCCCTCGAGAAATTCTTGATTAGAAAAGGAGAAATTGTGATTAGAAAAATTTCTGAGTGAGCAAAATAAAAAATCCGTTGTTTCGACATCATCGTTAGCTGCGGAAAAGAAGATGCAGATAAAAATTAAACTATCGATATGAGAATACTTAATTTATTCTATTGATCTAAAACCATCGATATAGTGGGTCATGATGAACTGATTAAATTTTACAATTATGACTTGAAAAAACCAGTCTAGGAAACGAGTGTAGGTATCTTATCTATCAATTAATGCAAGTCCAGCGCACATTTTGACAGTTGACAGCTGCGTTTAGTAATTGTAATAATGATGAAACCAAAACAAAAAACTGTAATTATAGAAAAATCAAATTGATTATGTAGAAATTGAAAACAAAAACTTCTTCAGGAATACAATTTTTTTCATAAAGGTAAGAAAAAAGCTTAACCTTGAACACATATTCAAACGAGCATCGTTAAAATGACTATATTTCGCGGAATCGTTAAGCAAAAAAAACTAAGAATTGAAAAAAAAATCAAAATGAGTTTTAACTATCGTGTAACCCGCTTCACTATCTAATTGACACGCTGAAGTTACCAAAACCTAACTAAATTGTCTAAAATGTAATTTATCAGAATAGAATACTTCAATAAAATCAGCCAATGGATCAAATACTTCAAAACTGCCAACTCAATTGGTACAAAACTTCAAAAATCATAAAACTACCAACAAATAAATATTCTCAAAAAGATTTTTTTTTTCAGTGTTGTTTGAGTAAAAGTCACGAATAGCTGTGTTTTAATTTTTGTTTTTCAGTTTTTTTTTCGAAAAGCAACGCAATATGTTCAACGACGTGTGTTTGGGCGACTAAATGCTTGGTAACTGAAAGTTAATCAATAAAAAACCAATGTTGTAACTTTATTTTTTCTGAAAATTCAAATTTGGCTTAGATCTCATTGAAACCAAATACCTTTGTAGATATTTACCTTTTAATATTATTTTTGTTGATTTTTTTGTTCTATGTTTAAATATAATTAAATATACAATTTCGTTTGAAAAACAATTTTTTTCTTGTTTTTAGTTTGTTGTAGTCAAGATTGCATAATATAAAACCGTGCAGAAATTTAAATGCGTTATAAAGTACTTTTTCATTTTTTTTGTACAATTTTTCCCACTTGGAAAAGTCCGAGATTCCCGAAAACAGAAAAAAGGTTCTATTGGCAATCTACTGAGCCTATTCTTAATTTTAAAAAAAAAGTTTTGTTATTATATTCGTTAAGCTAGCTTGGAAACAATATAATTTTGTAGTATTTATTTAAAAGACATAAAAAAACGAATTTGAAATGTATCATTTTTTAAACAGAATGTTGTTTGGAGCGCAGATCAAAGTTTCTTTTTAAATAGCATCTGAAAACTTACGATTTGCACTCATGAAAAAAAAAATTGAATGTTTTGGAACCAATTAGGGCGAAATATAGTAAAAACGTTTGTTAAGGTTAAATATGATCTATTTCTCTCTAATATCAGAAAAAATAGCAAATAAAGTCTGAAAAACAGGCAATTTTCATATTACTAAATTGAAAATTTTTAGCTCAAGTTTTAGCAGACATATAATTCAAAACTATATTATATGCAACTGAAAAGTCTACAGTTTTGGACGCGAACCTGTTCAAAATGTTAGAACGCATCTAAAATGAAAGAAAGTTTAAGTTTCGAAACAATTTATGGGCCATTATTTGCTTAGTTTTGAATGTATAAAACTGAATGAATAACAGTTCATTTGTTTTTGAATTGGAATGATTATGATTCGCTGTTCATCTTCATCGACATCTCCCCTCACTTGCGTAAAAACTCAAACTGATTTATTTGGCATAAACCAAAGTTTTAAATATACCAACAAGAACAAGTTCAAGTTCAAGTTGGAGCCTCAGTTCAAGTTGGAGCGATTTCTAAGACAGATTAATTCTCGGCTTACGCGTTATTAGCACGAAATATAATTCGTGTGAATTTTCCAAAATGCTTATATCCCGATAAATTCACAAAATATGATCACAGGTGAATTATAATTTCAAACTTGAAATGGAACTTTTTAAATTAAAATGTCGAACAAAACTAGCTTGAGTGTAAAACCACAAAAAAATTGCTCAATAAAATGTCGAAAAACACCCCGAACAGAAACTTTCCATCTACTGAAAAACAAATATGTAGCAGCATTCAGAGTTTTTTTAAATCTAATAATCAACATTTGTCTCCAAATGCGAGACATTAACTATTGCGCTACCGTGTATGATTAAGCACTAGTTATGGCATATCGAACAGCTGCAAAGCCTATGCGGGAAATTCAACGAAGCGTATATACATCTTGTTGTTTAAAACTACAAACTAGAAGGCGTACATCAAACTAGAGACGCTCCATTACGGATAGTATCCAATGCAAGTATTGATTCTTTTACGGTCGCCCAGCTGCATTTTTCCCTAATTTTTGTTTCCGCAATCCAATGATCTCAAATTTTGCGGAAATTTAACCAACAACAAACATGAATTGTCTCTAAAATTACCACTTGTTAATCATACTTCGACTTAATTCCATAAATTAATGTATTTTTGTATTTAGTTAGACCCAAACTTGAGTAAAACTAGCAGCAAATTTAGTGTACAATCTCCTCCTCCTTTGAGTTTTTTAAAATTGAAGTTTGGAATAAGAATAGAGAATTGTCGCTTCAATAAAAAAACTAAGTTAATTTTGGTTGTTAATAGTAAAAACTACTCCAATATATATTTCAAACAAATTTTTTATTAGCTTTTTTTTGTTGAAAAACAGTAAGTTGCATTGATTTTTTTGGATCAAAATTAAAATGAGCGGTAATTTTTAAGTAGATGTTAAGCAGAGGTGAGTGTTAAGTATATCTGCCAACAGTTTTACCCAATTTCTAGACACGGTTTTTTTTACGATTTTCAAGATTACCATCTATGTATGCTTCAATGAAGCACCCGTTTTGTTTCTGCATATTTTCATTGTACTATAATTAGTGCTTGATCATGTTCTGTAGCGCAGTAGTTGAAGTCCTGCATTTGGAAATGATTGTCCGTAAAAAGATCAGCAGCGCTACTTCGGGTGCACCCAGATGTTTTTTAGTTAAAAATTTCTTCAAATAAACAGCAAACGCTTTTTTTGAAACTCTCGTTGTTTTCCGGGTTCCATGACAATCTATTTTTTTTTCAATCTACCCTATGCCAATCTACCCTGTGCCATTATACCTTTTATTTTATAAATTGTTCAATTGGTCAGAAATAACTGAACTGACTATCTCGGTCTAAGTCTAAGGGGATAACCGGCTCTAATTGTCATATAGAATCGTAGCCTCTGTTGACAAGCTCGCAACCCACTAATTTTTTGTTATCATTCCGTCTTCAATTAGGCGTAGAGTAGTATGAGATTGTGCGAATTGGCATTGGGTAAAATGGAATATAGAGTAAAATGGAGTGGGCAGATGGTCCTGCTACCGCTTTTGGCCCTGTATAGTAAATGCAATTTGTAACTTTTGTTAACCTTTCCTTCTGGCTTTCGTAACAAAAGTAACGGAACAGTCGTGCTCGGGGTGGTTGTTTTTCAGACGAATTTCGAATTTTGAACTGGCCAGTTTTGAGGAAATTATTTAAAATCATTCAAAAGATATTCTTCTCCTGAGTTTAAATTTGAAATGACATTTCACCTGTGAAATTAGTTTTTTAATTTAATATTAAGTTTTTTCTTCATTTTATATTATTAAATTTATTTTTTTTCTTCAACATATTACTGCTCGATAGAAATTAAAAGGCAGTTGATAGATTCAGTGCATCGCCCTGATACGAGCAATCTTGTTGTTTCGACTTTTCTAACGAAAGTAACGGAATATTTGTGCTCGGGATAGTTTTTTTCTTCAAACAAATTTTGATTTCTTAACCAGCCATTTTTGACGGAGTTTTTAAGTATCATTCAAAAAATTGTGTTTGTTGTCCTGAGCTTAAATTTGAAAAGATATTTCACCTTTGATCTTTTTTGTAAGATTAAGAGTGTTTAAAGATTGCCAGTATGGTCAATTTGGGACAATTAACGCGCGATGTATTCCGCGCTATTAACGCGTGAGCGGATATTTAAAATTGTTAACGCGTGAGCGTTCTAAATTGTTTGAAGCAAGCTTACTTGCCATCATTGATTGGTTACTAGGAGCGAAATCTATCATTTTGTATAATATATGGCGCGTGGGGTGATGATTTTCACAAAAAAAACTCAAACTAATTTTTTTTTCATTTTGTTATAGTACATTTAATGTTTTTTTAAATGTTTTTGCTGCTCCATAGACGTTAACAAGCAGTCAGATCACTCAGGGTTTCGCTGTGAAACGAGCAGTCTTGTTCTTTTTTTGGGAGTGTTTGCGGAAACTTAGCTGGCGGCAATTCGAATTGGAACTTTTTTAATGTAATATGATACACGAGCTCACCAGACTGCAAATGATCGTTTGCATCCTATATTTTAACAGTGAAAGGAAGCCTATTGTTATTGCAGGGAATGAGAGAGTTGATATCATGAGAAAATGTATAAATTTTTATGATTTAGGTTGAGTTTTATTGGGTTTCTGTAATGTTTTCATCATGATTTTTGTTGGAAGTAGAAAAAAACACGATTGCATCCAATTAAAAAAATACGGCCGGGATAATTTGCATACAATTCAATTTAACCATTCTGAAACTATTCTAGGTTTTGTTCACTTGGAACGTATCCTTTTGTTACTGTTTGCAACCAATAATAAGATAATCGCTTATTTCCAAACAGGTTCAATTTTAAATAGGTGATATTTTTGTTCAAATCCCATTTAATCTCCATAAATAAATCACAAAATACGGACGGTACTGTATATCACCTACCACTTTATCTATCTAACAGAACTGAGAACCCCAACAAAATGCACATCAAACAGATTCAGGTAATTTATCTATCAACTCTCAAATATATACTATTCACAAAATGGCGGACACCCCTTGCATTTTGAGGTTAATCGTTTTATTTGATCGTCCTCAAAATTTTTGAAGTTATAGGTAATTAAATTTCACGTATTACTTAGAAAAATTGAAAAAAGTTCCCGAATTCCAAAGCAAACTGCATATCTTAATTCAATTTGATCCTCAAATTCGTTATTGAGAAGGTATTAAACTCTTTCTGAGTTTTACTTCTGACATTTGATTTTGGATCAACACTTTTGTGAAATTATGCAGGATGGGGACGGGTTACAAATTGTTTGAGACCTTACTACTCACGAGCTTATTTGACAGCTTAAGCCATCCCCTTTTTTAAAAAAAACTTGGCTTTAACTGTTGAGTTAAGCTCATTTTGTTTACTTTTTTTTAAGAATCAAATGCTGCACAATTTGTTTTGAAGGCAAATAACTTGGAGGAGGAGGAAGAAGGGCAAAGATCGACAGTTGTTCGTTGGAAAGTGGTGGTGGGTGAGACAGTTATGACCCATGACGCGAAGAGGGACGCCCATTCGGGCAGGACTCGGGCCAGCAGCCGAATGAGTGGGGCGAGCAGTCGCGCCAGTGGCATGGGGGCAGGGGCAGGTAGGGATATTTTGGTTAAGCATTACCAAGTTCAAAATTTTCAGTAATGAAGTTCTTTTTTTACTCTAGGGAGAACCGGAAGTATTTTTCTTCCTTGTTTGAATGCTGTATGTAACAAATACAGCTTTTTCAGTGACCTACCGATGCTGCAACAGGGGAATTAATTTTTGCACGAAACTGTCTGTTTCAACCATTGAATTGAATAACCTTTTGATGTTAACTTTGCGCAGAGGGAAATTATTTATTGATGACAAGAGAAAAGGCAAGCAGAAGCAAAAATTTCATGTTTTTGAAAGAGTCTGGCACTGAATTGTGCTACTCATAGAATTTTTGCGATTGGCTAGCATGGTCTAATGCGCAAAACTCTTTGCTAAAGTCATGGGAAGATGCAAAAGCATTCAAACTTTTGAGATCACTTTGTGTTCCAGTAGCAAAATGAAAAAAAATGTTTCTGAATAAAGTTTTCAGTGTTGCAGTAGCTAATGAAAAAAAATGTTTATGAAAAAGTGTTTGTAAATAAAATTGCTGTATGTAAGTCGTTCCTTAAGATCTGCAGATCATTAGTTTATTTTTTTGTAAAGAAGACAATAAAATTGCACTTGAAATATGTAGGCAGTCCTTTTTAAAGTAAAATGAGAGTATAAGTTTTCGCTAACACATAGGGAGTGGAAAGGATTCCGGCGGTGGTGGGATAGACCAGGACACTGGACAGGAGGACTTGGTGAGGATGCAGGAGATATTCGAGGAGGCGGACGAGGATGGGGGAGGGGGACTTGACATAGACGAGTTTAAAGGTCAGTCAACCATCAGAAATTTAATGATAAGAGAAGTGAGACAAAACAAATTTATGGACGAGTCCATATGTAAACAGGGATAGCCGGTTACTGTGTAAGCAGCACAGAATTTTCCGACCGTAGTCTTTAGAAAACTACGGCTTAGAAAGTTTTTTTTTCCAAATTAGTGTAGTTTTTTCTGCTTGGTGTGATAAAAGGATCTGACGTAAAAAAAAAGTTAATGCATATTACTATTAGACAGTAATAGTAATATAAGCGAATTGGTCAAAAAAAAATTTAGAAAAAAGACTGAGAAAAAATTTAAAAATTTGCTTAAAATTAAATTTTAAGGTCTTAAATTACCTAATTCAGCTGTTGTAAGCCTGCTCGCTTGCTTTATTTGCTCGAACTAAGTCGAAAAATCAGAATTTTCAAAACGACTTTTATCGACACTTTTTTGAAATTTTTAAAATGTGGTTCAAATCACAAAATATTACTCAACCCTGTCCGAATATTATTTGTGATACTTGATTTTGCGTGGGAAAAAACTAAAACACACCCAACTACAAAGCGTCTCCCCATTTTCAAAAAGTTTTCGGCTCTTCCATTTTTTAAGACGGATGTGGAGTGGCGCTGTCACAAGGCACATCTTTTGTGCTTTGGAATCCCCTATTTGTACAAACAGCTAGCACAAATTCGGAAAATATCCGTTGGCAACCGCAGCAAACGCAACATGGATAAAAACGTCGGATTATTCAAAACTGAAAAAGATGCCTTAAAGTTCAGCAAAAGTGTTTGTTAGTTCGAGGCGATAGTAATCCTTTGAAACCTGACATTAAAGGGGATGAGCTAGATTGATTTCTGCAAACTGGTTTCTATATTGGTTTCTATATTTTGTATATTTATTTTCTTTATTTGTTGTTTTTTGTTGCGACTTTTAGCGGTACCCAAAAGAACCATTTCAGGCTAACCAAAAAAATTTAACAAAATTTTTACTTCTTGTTGTAGCTGTATTTTTTGGAACCTTTTAAAATTACTTTAAATCTTCCAATGTAGCCACATTCCGTTCTCTATGGGACGGATGAAAACAAGACCAGAAATCATCATGCTGCTGTTTGCCATTTTGGGTTCTCGTACCGTGCAGCGTGCCCTTGACGTTAACTACGTTTATGTTCAAGAAAGAACGCCGCTATGATTCATTGAATGATAACCGATCGTCCCATCAAAAGAACGGGCTATAAGCAACTCCCGTTTCTGTTGGTTCTATTACATGCCATGTACTAAAAGAGTTGCAAATAAGTTATTCGATATTCAAGCTTTTTCAAATCGATGCATATTGGAATGATTGCTTCAAGTTTGCCGATTAAAGTTGCAAAATCCAACTTACTTATGAAAAAAAACTCAAATTTGCGTTTTTTTCTATTCTTTCTTCTCGCGAGGGTTTCATTTTTTTGTGGTTGTTCTCAATATGAAAACAATGTAAGCAAAAAAGGAAAAACTCGAAAAGTATTGTTTTGATCTTAATTATATTTCAGTTTATGGCTCAAGTAATTGTGAACAAAATTTGAAAAATCGCGCGATGGACAGTTCCGCTAACCAATAAAGTTGCGACATGAGTCGCGTATCTCGGCGTCAATCTCTTTCTGAGCTGCTTTTTTCACATTTTGCCAAGGCTGTTAATGAAGCGGATGATTCTGTTTGTAAATTCTACTATTCCGTAACCGTTTCATCAATTACTATTTTTTATGCGTAGAATTTGTCGTGAAACTCCTGCTTCGCGTGTGTGGGTGTTTTACCTAATCTATTTTAAAAACAACCTTTTTTAAACGCTAAAACGCATGCTTTTTTGGTCAACAAGAAACAGTACGTCATAGCATTTGTTTTTTCTAAACATTTGGAATATCGTTTAGAAATAGCAGTTGATTTTAGTGTAGCTATTTGTTGTGTTGTAGTGGCGATGAAGAAGGTGTTGGGTGGTCGGGTGGATGAGAGGGAGCTGGAGAAGTTGTTCATGAAGGTGGACACCAACTGTGATGGCACGGTGGACTGGGACGAGTTCCTCTCCTACATGCTACTGGAGTACCTCGAGAAAGACCTCATCAAGGTATACTATTTTAAGTATGCTCTGCTATGTATCACCGACTCAAATACAATCTATTTCTCTCATCCCATTTGCCATTAAAACTCAACTAGTTATCATTTATTATTTGATAAATAGCCGAAATTATTTTTTATCTCGCGCCCATTTGGTTTTTATTTTTTCTTCAGATTTTTCGATTAGGTACATAGTTTAATAGCTGAAGCAAGATGAAAACTTGCTTTAAAAATATTCAATAAAAATCCATAATGCGATATCTGCTAAAATGAGAGACAAGCATTTTATTATTGCCGTTCAGCATTCACCAATTTAAAAGAATGCGACAAAAGGTGTGTCAGCTTTTCAGTAGAACAAAAGACCTTTTCAGGATTATAACCTGATTCCTACCATGATTGAGTAGATTCAACATTGTCGAAGGTGCAATCACCAATCATTTTTACTGGAAACGCGCTTGCATAATCAGATGAAGCATATCTTACAGTCTACGCGTAGCGGAAACCTTCAAAATCAGTTCGAATTACAATACATGAATGAAACTTACCAATAACTCTTGTTTCTGAGTTTTTGTTCTAACTACAGTATGTATTCTTTGTCCTAACTGTTTTTGCCATTCTTGCTCTGTTTTTTGAAGACTAAGTCTTTTGAGAACTATTCTTTTCACTTATTTCCGTGTTTATCTTCGTTTCCTTTTGGTATTGTATTTTGATGATTTTTTCATATTTTTGAAATTTAAGTCTATCTTTTCCAATTAAGTAATTCGGATCACTTTAAAATTTCCGCCTATGTTGGAAAGAAGTTGTAAGTTTATGAGTCTCCCTTTTCTCCTTTCCCCTTTTGGCAGTAATTTAAGGCATCCATTTGTGGCTAACCGACCCTAAAATTTTCTAATAGTGCCTTTGGAGCCAATATATACTAATTTTGAGGGGGATAGTGAGCAGAAAAGGCGATTTTTTCGTCAAAACATTCCCAAAAAGCCTAAAAACGTTTTTTCATCATGTTTTTAAAAACTCGCCTATGGCGCAAAAGATTTGGTTAAAATAAAATAGGGTCTTATCGTGATCTCAGAGAGCTCGGAAAATCAATTGGGTCGGCCTATAAAAAAGGTCGACAAAATTTTCGAACATGTTTTGAAAATCCGCCCCTCCACGACAACTTTTTCTTTATCGTCAGTCTCTTGTTTTTGTGCACAGGCGATGATGATGGAGCAGCCGTTTGTGCGTGATGAAGTGGAACTGCCTCGGAAGCACAGCCACTTGATAGTGAGAGTGAGACACACTCCCCTCACCCGAAGTGTCTCCTTCACCCACTCTGTCCCCATTCCCCACAGGGGAAGATACTACACTCTAGATGAGGTACATTATAATCAAATTCTTTTTTGATCACTATCCATATATGATTTACCATATTAGATGCAACCTTATCCCGTTATTCTGTCAAAAATACACGACTGTGCCAAAAGTTTCTTAACCTACTATGTGAGATTTCGAAATCTTTTCTAACCCTAACCAACCTCTTTTCCTCCAGCTTACCAAGAATTGGACTCCTCGTTTTCTAGAATATTTGGAGCTTTCCAGAAATTGCCGCTTCATCTATGGCATCTCCCAATGGATGAAAATACTCCATTTCCGGCTCTTTTGTGGGCATTGCCTTGACCAACTTTCATTTTGTTTTGTTATTTCAGTCTGGCGTGATCAACGTGTGGAACCATGCCTTCCACCACACCCGCAAGCTGCGATGTCCCCCCAGGGGCCACACTCCCCTCTGCTGTCGGGACATGGCTGTCATGGCTAATTTAAGGCACTCTTCCTCCATTTTTAAAAGTTTCATCTACTCTTTCAAAATCTATATACATAGAATTAGGTAATATCCCCTGAGCAAAATGAAAAAGAAAGATGATTTTTCTTCATTTCGATTGTATATCTCTAAGCTCATGGAATAATAGCAACTTACAAACGTTTCTCAGAGAAAACACATCGCGAAAAAATATTTCGGAAAAAATGTTTCTATAATTTTGTGGGTAAATTAGTATTTGCTCTTGTAATTGATTGGTAGTCTTATTTATAGGGTAGTTATATTTATGGTTTTATTTTAATAAATTTTTCTTGCACAAAATAATATGTTTTAAAGTTTAGATTAAGAACAGAATTTCGAAAGTTTTATAGGTTTCAAAAGAAAAATGAGGGCTGTACTAACCAACAATGTGTACTTTTAGTTTGATCGCAGTGGCGTCTACTCTGAATGAGTTGTGGCTGTTCGATGTGAGTAAGTTCGAGAAGCAGTGCAGTGTGACTAGACTGCCCTACAGCATAGAGTGCATGCACTACCACTACGACTACACAAACTCCAACAGAAGCTGTCTCCTCTGGGGCGACACAGGTCCCTTTCAACTTCTGATTTTTTCAAAAACAAACACCAAGTCACATAAAATGGCTCCTTTTCCTAATTTTACTTACCAATACTTTATAATATTAACAACATTTTGTGTACAAGCGTACGAACGGGAGAAACATCGGATTCTATTTCTCTTTCTTTCATTTTAGGCGGCAATGTGTTCATCATAGCCCTAACTGAGACTCTGCTGACCAGTTTCTTCTCGGACACTTTGCTCAACTCCAAGAGGGAGATGCCCCTGGATGTGTTCTCCTCTGGCAAATTCCCCCACTGCAAGTTCTACCAGCACAAGAACATCCACTCCAGCTGGACCAGGCAAATCAAGTTCCTACCAGGTTAGAAACTAGAAATAACGAACGAGAACATCAACTGTTGGTGAAATTTTTTTTGTCCCTGTCCCAAATATTTATGGCCTGCATTACGACACCCAGCTGGGTTCATTTGGTAGTTATATAGATTTCAGGTAATTTTGCTAAAAATGTTTACATTTAGTTTAATATAAGTGAAACATTGAACCCATGTGTCCAGAAATGAATTTCGGAGGTGAGATGCGGAAGCTTTTCATTTCCTCAGCAATTCGAACATCTGAGCATCCAAAAATTCCCCCTTTCGATAGTCTTTTGAGACATCCCTTTTTGCTGGCCAAATCTAACTTTTTAAAACACACACACACACACACACACACACACACACACATATATATATATATATATATATATATATATATATATATACGAAACGCCAATATGTACTAACATATTTCGAGAGGAGCGCTCGAGGAAAAAACGGGCAGTGCTGTGTAACCAAATTGGGTTCATGAACTGTCCACTCGCTGTTTCTGGTGCTTCTATTTTAAATTCTCTTTATATGCAAATTTACCATTAACAATGAGAAATAAATTCTTTCTTTCTCTTTCAGCTTTTTAGTGAAAACCAAAAATTTCCAAGTTCTCTTTAGCTTGTTGTTTCAAATCCTTTTCAAAATGAGGTTTTAATTTTCAAGATGGATCTTTAAAAACAAGGAGAGCTCGTAAAAACAATTCAGTCAACTTGCAAAAAAAATTTAGCAAAATTTTCAAAATAACGCGCTTCCCCTCAAGAAAGTCCTATAAAGTCCAGGAGGAGTTAGGATGCAAGCGAGCACATTATGTGGTCTGTTATAAAACTGAGCTTGCCTGAAAAGCATATTATCTTAAAGCCCTTTTAGACAAGATTCAGATTTTTAACATTCATTTTCGAAAAGTTATTTCAGCGTTGGGAAAAACTCGTCTGCATTTTTTAGTTTTTAGAATAACTTTCACAAATCACGCACTTCCAAAATGTCTGCACCCAAAAACGCATTTGTTACACTTCGAGTTTTCGTTTTCTAACTTAAATAAAATAGCAATAATTAATTTTAAATTTCTGTGTATAGATTTTTTGCAACATTAAAACCAGCGCTTAAGTGTCATACATGCTAAGGACATCAATACTACTTATATTGGGACAAACATTTTAAAAAAAATTTGGTTTTTTACTGAAAAACTCCGACTGTTTAACCATCCGTTTGAACGATAGTTTTACCCGCACTGCTCTCGGATTAAACAAACTTAAGTTTCATTGTCAGTGTCTATTAAAAGAAAATTAATCTGTTATTATCAATTAAGTACGGATTTCATTGATAATTGTTTTACAAAAATTTAAAAATGCAAATCAATTATAATCAATTTTTTTTATATAGACAAAAACAATGCATTTCTACTATAATTGTTTTTTCTTAACTTTATTGAGATGCAAAACTGAATCATACAAAGTAGTTTGCACGTTTCAAACTAAAGTTGTTTACCTGCTATTCAATTTCGATTTTGTTGTCTGCGTCAATTTGATTTTTATTTGTCGTTTTATGCTACTCAATTAGGTTGCTGTCAACCAATTTATGATTTTGTTCAGATGTTTTTTGGCGCAAAGTTGGAGCTATTTTTCAGTCAAAACTTTCCAAAAAAAGCCCAAAAATGGCTTTTTTGATTTTTTTTTTCAGAAAACATTGTTAGTAGAAGAATTTTTTTGTCTGTAACTTTGTATGCATGCAAATAATTTTTTGCAGGGATAGCGCGTCGTAACAGTGATTTTTCCACAAAAGTTTTCAATTGATTGGTTTTTTTGAGCTCCATTTTCAAAGTTTGACCAAAAAATCTGTCGCAACGCTTTTGCAGGGGAAGGGGGTGCCACGAATTACCATGCGGTGTGCGGGGGGGGGGGGGGGAGGGGTGGTGCTGTTGGTGTTGGTGAAGAGTAAGAATAAAAGGCAAGCGATGGGGGAGTAAAAGGGCAAAGGGACAAATGTTGGTTGGAGATAAGGGGTGAACGTGGGGATAAGTACTTTTATGGATTCATTTCACAATTCGAGAAAGTTTAGGTTTTGAAATCGAATAAGTCGTATACTCGTTCGGCAAAAACTCTGAATTACTAATTTGTTAAATGCAGAATTTCCTGCAAGCTTTTACTTGACGCGACACAAAAACTTTTTTTTAATTGACTTCAAACGAATTATATTCAATTTTAAATTTGATAAAACAAAACATTATTATTGGTTTTTTCTTCCATTTTGTCTGAATGCAACATGGGAATCAGCTATTTTGTTAACATTTTAAACCACAAAAAAACCCATTATAAGGGATTTGTTTTTTCACTTTTCTTGGATGCGAGTACCGTCCAAAAAGCAATGCAATTGCTTCATAAATTTTAAGATGTTTAGTAGCTTTTTTTTCGTAAAGTTATGGGTTTTAAAGTTCAAATTGCCAATTTGGGATAATATATAGGGGTGATATAATTTGTAATATTGACGCGTAAGCGACGAAATATTCCAATTCTGGAATCATGACCAATTGATTTAGTTTAATTTGTTTGATCTGATCAATGCGTGACCAGCCGAGAAATATTTCATTTTGCACTTTACATTGGGTGGAGAAAGACAGTGGAGGTTTTAGAAAAATTATTTTTGGCCAAAATAATCAATGAGTTGTTAAACCTCACAAGGACTCGGTATCCAGTTTCTCGCTTTTATATAAGAATATATTTTTTCTTTATTCACAGCCATTTTGGATTCTTGTTCAATACTCTCTTGCTAATCGAAAAACTAGCCAAAAAATAACAATGAATTTTCAATTTGTATTAACTATATGATTATGAACTGAGAAATCAGAGATGAGGAGCCGCATCAAGTTGAACAGCTCGTTGATTTTTTTCCTCCTTTATTTGCTGATCTGCAAACCTCAAGAATAGCATTAAAGTAAATCATTAGCCTTAATAATTTATACCTAACCTTTTGCCCATACTTATATCTTTTTCAACTCGTTAGATAGCCATCTTAAACGGTCAGATTACTTCATTAGTTTATTTTTGCAGGTTCATCTCAGTTCATTTCATGTTCCTGGGCATCCCAGAACTCGATGGTGGTATCCCTGCTTCGAGAGAACGGGCGACCTCCATATGTGTTCCACGTCACGAAAGGTAGACAGTTCACAATTATGTCGACTTCATTCCAGGGTTGACGTTTCAAAGGAAAAATCAATCAACTAGACTATTTTTTCTGGGTTGCTTGATTGCAGAAAACAATGATTTTTCCAATACTTTTGAAACTGCAACTGATGGATTAAAAATATAACAGCGTTTTTTATAATATTAGCAGCGTCATAGGAAGCGTTATGGAATAAGTATGATGATTAGCCACAAAGTGCTTTAGTTTGTGTCGTCTGGTTAATTAGGTGTGACGTGTTTCGACTACTCGGAGGAGTTGAATGTGATTGTGACCGCTGGAGTGGACCACAGAGTGAAGATATGGGACCCCTACATGCCCAGTCAGCCACTCAACATACTAGTCGGACACAATGCCAGGTAAAAGGGCTGAGGGGGGGGGGTGTGGTGCAGTAATGGAATTAGGAGTGGGGAAGGGATGAGTTTCAAAAGAAAGCAGCCCCTTCACAATTCAAGGAGTGATTGTACTAGGGCAGAAGGAGAAGAGGGATTGTACTAGGGTAGATTGGTTTTAGAACTTTGATCCTATTCTCAGTCCAAAAAGATTTACTTTTATCCTATTTCACGATATTTTAAAGGTTATTTTAGGGCATGTTGTATTTAAAATTTTCAGTTTTGCTCATTCCGACAGTTCTAGAGAGTGTCATTTGCTCATTAATTAGTTTTATGAATTAAAATGACGTTTTTTTTGGAACGGCAATTCTTTTTTGTTTTAAAAAGGCTAGTCTCATAATATGGGAACTGTATAACTCTTATTTTCCATAGACAAAAGTATGGAATCTTATCACTAGCATTTTCGGTGCAAGGCGATTAACTCGGCCTGTTAAAATTAAAAAGCCATTAAAATTCAAATAATTTCCTCGAGTATAAATAGCAGCTCTGTGAAGAACTTCATGCTAAAATATTTTGATCATTGAGCTCTTTATTTTCAGAGTGGAGTTCGTGTGTATAGACACTGTGACCAACAGTATCTTGAGTCTATCTGCGGACAACTATGTGAAAGTGTGGGACATAGCGGACACTAAGGTCACTCAGTCATTCAATGCCAACTATGTCCACTTGCAGCCCCATGACGTCACTGCAGTCGCATTCAACCCCATCGACGGTTGGTAAATTTCACTCGTTCTTGGTTACTATTTTTTCCTTATCTCTTATTTTTTCACAAACACCGTTATTCAAAACCACTGACAGGTCCGTTTTTTGTGATATTTTTCACAAAATGGTAGCCCTTGTTATCAATATCTTAGCTGCAAGCCAAAAAGTTGTTTGATACTGAAGGAAAATATGCTTTTATTGAAGACCTTTCTTTAGATACTAAGCATGATGTTTGTTTCTGAAAGATCATTTCAAAGAATTGACATTTTCGTCTAATGTTTTCCACGAAAAAACCGGATAAAATTGAATTAATCCGGTCAAATCAATTACTTACAGGCAAATTGATTCTGGCCACTAAAGAGATAGTGTTCCGGGAGCGAACAGGCAACTTGAATTCCAGGAAGACAGGTGCTAAAGTGGAGGATCCCAAGTCACATGGCAAAGGAGTCACGTGTGTTCTATACAACCCAGTCTTCGAAGTGGTAGGTGGAACAATGTGTTCTTCATCAGTTTAATAGATTGAAAACATCATACTCCAAGGGTCTTCATGTGATTTTTTTTTCGAAGTCATCAAAAGTTTTCTGACAGACTGTTGACTCTGTTTAGTCATAGAGTTCGCTTGCGTTCTTTGTGAATAATTTGGTTTCTATATCCGATTAAGTGAAGCGCTATCATTGCAACCTTGTATTTATAAGAAATGCTTATGCCAAATGAAAATTTTAATTGCTAAGATTGTAATTTTTAAGGCTTCTTCGTAATTAATTTTTGGAGTTCTTCTTTCTATTAGCTGCCTGAGTTTGCGAAAAACAGTTACGTTTCTATGTCTGATATTTTTCTTTAATTGATTTTGAGGTTTGCTTAACTAGCTGGTCTTGCGTGAAAAAAAAGACTTTCCAGTTTATCACTACTCGCCTATTAACGATATTAAGTTTTTCTCACTGAAATATCTAGTTTGTATTTGAGAAAGGTGATCTAGCCTAAATATAGGCGGTGAACCAGACGTGGATTAAGGGGGTGGCATTTTGACTTGTTTTTTTTTTCAAAAAATTGCTTGCGGCGCAGAAAATGTGGAACAAATAAGGTTTTGATAGTTTATAGTGATTTGAGAGAGCTCAGAAAATCAATTTCTATAAAATCAAAAAAAAAGTTCGACAGTCTTAGAACGTTTTTTTTTTGAAAATGCACTCCCTCCCTCTTCATCGAGAAAATCTGCGGGGGGTCTAAAGAAAATCTAAAACTTAATCTATTAACCTAAGCCTATAGTTTGTTTCTTCAGACTTCTTCAGAAAAATTATTCGGTGCAAAACAATCCTGATTTTTTTTTCATGTGCAGTCATTAACTATTATCCTTGCAAACGATTTGTCTCAAATATAATTTGCCGTTCCAAGGTAGTGTCTGCAGACCAGCATTCTACAGTTTGTGTTTGGGACTACAAGAATGGGAAGAAATTGATGCAGTTCAGTGGTTGTCACTTGTGGAACATCAATGGCAGAATCATCAACCTCGAGATCACCGCCATGGCATTTGATCCCACTTACAGACGTCTATTCACAGGTCAGAAACTTAATACTGATTTCAATCACTATAAGTGATATTTTGAGATTGAAGTCTGCTGTGTAAAATTTTTCTGTGTCTTCTGGCAATGAGGAAAAAATTCAACCCTCAGCAATCGCTATCACCAAAATTAATTACCTTACTTTGCATAAGTTGAATTCAACTTTTCTCTATGATGTTAGGATCCAAAGACGGTTTCGTGAAGGTGTGGAACTTCAACAATGGCAGTTGTCTGGACCAATATGAGACATGTGACGAGAACGAGATAGGTGGCATGGTATACATGCGCAACAGAATTTTCACAGGTAACTGCACAACGATTCTGTTTCATACAAATTCAAACTACCAGTCATAGAGCTTTTAAAAAAGTTATAAGGTACCTTTCAATTCGGGGTTTTGTCCAGTTGGGCGGTACTCAATATGAGAAAAAGTTAAATACATAGTTAAGAAACGATAGCATTCTTTTCCAGTATGTTGCATCCTGTTAAATTAACAAAACAATGTCATTTAAAAAAGAATGCCATTGCTAGAGTTATTTAATTTAAAATTTTTCAAAAAAAAAATGTTGTGCAGTTAATATGGTCAGTTAATAGGATCCGTTTTTTCAGGTGGTTGGAGCAAAAATGTGTACTGTATCTTCGATGCCAAAGAAGACGACGACAGAGACATCAAATGCTGGGAGCAGAAACACGTCGACGACATCCAGTGCATCACTCGCGTTGGCACGTTCGTCGTCTCGGCTGATTACGACGGTGACATCATCTTCTGGTATTCGGACACGGGTCGTTTCGCCTTCCGTTACAATGTCAACGAATGTGCCTCCAGCATTCAAACACCTCAAGAGCTTGAGTTCAACGAAGTGGCTTCGGACGTTATCGGGTCTAAAAGCAGAGCCGAATCGCGACGTTCGATGTACACCGGACGACGAAGCAAGACCTCTTCATCTCGTGAAAACATTTACAACCGTAATCGCAGCTCAGGATTTTCGCAACACAGCTCGGGTAGGAAGTTTCACAGTGCTTCGAAACGTGTTGTGGAACCATTGGAGGAAAAGTACTGCAGTGTCGTTACTATGACGTCATTAAATTCGAGGGTTCTGGAACCTACGACTGCAACGCTGCTAACTGCTACTAGTTTTGGCTGGGTGTATGCCTGGGCAGCTTCAGTGGGTACTAAGATGTTGGGTCAATTTTTCGCGGCCAAGAGTGACAAAGTGGCGATCAATGCTACTGCAACAGACCCTTCGAATCTGATTTTTGTGACCGGCGATTGCAAAGGTTCACTCATTGAAAAATCAAGCCAAATTTAATGAACTTTTCATCAAAGTAAAAAGCCACAATCTTAAGGTGACCGATGCTAATGGTCGATCAAAAAGTAGAATTTTTTTGTCGAGTTTTTTTTAAATGATCAAATTTTGTAATGGATGCTGTTTTTAAAAGAAAAAATACAAAATACGAGCCGTTCAGCTTTTCACGGAGAGCCGCTGCTGTGCCCCTGGTTAAAGTTTGCATGAAAAAAATTTGTACATTTTTAGACTGGCTTATGTTACTTTACCCCCGAGCATTGAGCACGGATAATTTTGTGCCTAAATCCTCCGATCTTTTAGTTAGGAAGCGGAGTGTTAGCCACTTTACCAGTGCTCCGCTATGTTTTTTTCTAGTTTCTACTGGTTTTTTCTAACTTCTCCCAATTTACATCCTTCATTCCCTCCTTGTCCCCCATCCCATGTTAAGTACCCTTTTAGGCCACCCCCGCCCAATTTGATCTATCCAGTTAGTCGACCCCTTAGAGATTTTACCCTTCCTTCCAGCTTACCCCTCCATTGCGTTTCCCACCTCTAACCTGCAAGAGAAGGGGCGATAAACTGGGGGAAGGGATAGAGAAAAAACGTGAGGGGGGAGATGAGGAAGGGTGTGCGGGGGATGCCGAAGGGTGTGTGGGGGAAATGGAATGATGTTAGGTTGTTGGATGAGGTGTATTAGGGTATGTGTGTGTGTGGGAGGGGGAGTTTGTGTGGAATGTGGCTGGTGTGATGGGAGGCAGGGCTTGGGGATTGGTGGCGGAAAGTTGGTGGTAGGGGTACACGTGGATGAACATGTTCGTTCGGGTTTAAGTTTTGCAGAAAACGCTGCAAAAGTAGAGTAAAAAATTTCATATTTTCAAAAAATGATCAATTTTTTTGGGTTTTATGAACAAAAAAAATCGATTATATTGTAATAAAACCTGGTTTATAATCTATTATAATGGATTATAACGGATTTTTAATTATTGAAAAAATCGGTTAAATCCCTTATAATATCCATTTTCTTGGTTAGATGGGTCATGAAAACTGATTATACGGGCTAAATTTAGCCGATATAATCCGTTGTAATCGGTTATTTTCCATGAAACTCTAGTACGGGTAGTTCTCAAATAGAAAAATGTCTATCATGAAGATGCTTACAGGAATTTGTTTGTGGAAATTGTATGATTTAAACTACTAGTCCGCACCGGTAGTCAATAAAACTATTGTATCTTCTCTCCTCGTCTCTCTTTAGTGGATTTATTGTTCCGACTTTCGAAGAAAACGGAATATTTATGATCGGTGTGGTTTTTTTTTATTCAGTCGATTTTCACAGATCGAAATCATTCTTTTCAACAGAAATTTTTTATGCCCTATTAAATTAATCAGATTGACTTCTTGAGTTCAAATTTTAAAGATACTTTACCTCCGATTAGTTTTTGTTAAGTTCTGGGGGTTTGAAAGTCGCCAAATTAAACATGTTCTGGACTATATTATAAGCGCTTTGAAGAGTTTACTCATAATGCTGAGAGCGTAACGCGAAATAATTAAGCATGGCAAAGTTTCCACAAAATCTTTCCAAATTGGTTTGAGGCTAGCTAATTCGTCGTATTAATTTCGTACGACCTAAAGTTTGACACTTTGGTATTGTCCAATATTTAAAGGTTTTCAATATTTTCTTTTCCAAAAACTATTCAAAATGAAAAAGGGGACAGTCTAAACATTCAGGGCTTTGCCCTGATATACGAGCACTCTTGTTGTTCCGACTTTCGTAACGAAAAAAAAAACGGACTATTTGAGCTCGGGGTGCTTCTTTTTTCTTCAGACAAACTTTGACTTCGTAACTAGCCATGTTTTCCGGAATTTTTTTTATCTCATTTAAAAGATATTGTTGTCCTGAGCTTAAATTTGAAAAAAAAAATTCACCTATGATCATTTTTCGCAAAAATGTGTGGGATTTAAGATTGGCTTTTTGGCCAATTTGGGACAATTAACGCGCGATATGTTTCGCGCTATTAACGCGTAAGCGAGATTTAATCCGTCTTATAAATCGTTCCAAATTGGTTGAACGAAGCTTATTTGCCATAATTGATTTGTTACAAGGAACGAAATCTATCTTTTTGTACTTTATATGGCGTGTGGGGGGATGATTTTCATAAAAATTTTCAAATTAAAAAAAAAAATCAATTTTTTTCTTACAATTAATTTTTTCATGTTATTTCTGCTCGTTAGACCTCAAAGGTCGGTCAGAGCGTTCAGGGCTTCGCCCTGATACGAGCAATCTTGTTGTTCCGACTTTCGGTACGAAAGTAACGGAATATTTGTGCTCGGGGTGGGTTTTTTTTTCTTCAGACAAATTTCGACTTTTTAACTAGCCTCTTTTGACGGAATTTTTTTATATCGTTCAAAAGGTATTGTTGTCCTGAGCTTAAATTTGAAAAGATATTTCACCTGTGATCATTTTTCATAAAGTTATGAGGGTTTAAAGTTTGCTATTTTGGCCATTTTGACCAATTTGGGACAATCAACGCGCGATATAATTCGCGCTATTAACGCGTAAGCGAGATTTAATCCGTCTTATAAATCGTTCCAAATTGGTTGAACGAAGCTTATTTGCCATAATTGATTTGTTACAAGGAACGAAATCTATCTTTTTGTACTTTATATGGCGTGTGGGGGGATGATTTTCATAAAAATTTTCAAATTAAAAAAAAAAAAACATTCATTTTATTTTATTTCATTTAATTTTTTTTATATTATTACTGCTGCTCCATAAACCTTAAAAGGCAGTCGGAACATTCAGGGCTTCGCCCTGATACGAGCAGTCTTGTTCATATTCAAAACCGTTTTTTTTGCTGAGTTGTCGATAATTAAGACTAGCATTTCGGACCGATTAGAATACTTCCGGTTTTTTATTTTCACATACAATTTCTGACTTTAATTTCAACGCGTAGTTTTTAGTTGACTTTATCGCAGTTCCTTATTTAGTTTCAACATCTCATTTAAAATTCAAATTCCGAGCTCAGTATCACATAGTTTGGCTCCACCGTTTAAATTTTGCAACTAATTTGGCATTAACTGTCCTGTCCAGCAGATACTCAAGCTGCAAGCTCTTTAGAGACTGAGAAGTCATTTTGAGTCACAACGTAAAATAAGAGTAAATTTAAAATCAAGTTGCCGAAACTGAAACGATTTTGTTAAAATAAATGATGATTGTTGAAATTAAATCAAGAAATATAGAACTGAAATACAGTATTCGGAATGTTGAAACTGAGCGCAACTTGACCATATATATTTCAGGTTACATTAGAGTTTGGAGCGTGAAGAGAGTTGCGATTGGGCGCAAAGAGCGAGAGAGACTACTAGAAGTGGCCGACTACAACTTCGCCTTCCCCTTTGCCCCCTATTTGAAGAAAGTGAGTCGCCAGTTAGCTGCCACAGAGCCACTGGAGGTATTTGCAGATATTCCCAAACTGTCTGTGCCGTTACTCGCGTCTTTCAAGGGGCACTTGGGAGCCGTGACTGCGCTAGGTTGGTAAAACAGTTTCATGTGTCTATTGTTCCGACCACTGAAAGTGGGGAGAAAATATGTCTTCCGGTATGTTTTAAACTTTTTGTATTTTTTGCCAAGCAAAATCAAGTAGAATTGGTAGTAATCAGAATCGGCCCTATGATAAGCTATATTAATGAACTTTCATTCGTGACTCGAGCGTCATTAAGAAATTTCCAAAACGATTTCTCGCAAAAACTGGTGTGAAACTTTTTGTTGTTAATCTAATTTCGAACTGTTTCGAAGTGTTTATTTAAGGGGTGAAATTTAAATTTACTCCTCAAAAACTAATTTGCGAAGTTCTATACATTAGTTGAAAATTAAACAAACAGCAAAATTTTTGATTTTTTGTTTCGATCAATAAAAATAGGGAGAAACTTTGTATTCGGATGTGTTTTAGTTTTTTTGGTTTTCCACGCAAAATCAGGTGCCACAAATAATCATCGAAATGGGTCAAAGGATAAATCATTATAAAGTCGTTTTAGTCGTGTTTCAAACGGTATTTAAAAATTTTCAATTTTTCCATTTTCAAAAATGTCGATACACATTTTATAGAGAAAAATAGTTTTGATGTTTATTTCAGCGCTTATTTGGCAAAACAGATTTTCTGAAAAACAAATGAAAATCAGTGAACAAAAAATTTAAAAAGGTTCATTGTCGATCATGCCTAGTTCGCTATTTTTAATATTTGATCGTATAGTTCTGGAATCCACCAAGAGCGACGCTAATTTGGTGGAAATTAGAAAAAAAATAACTTTAATTAATGAGTTTGATCGGAACATTCTGTGCTAATTGCCCAGCAACAGGCTATTTTTGTTTTTTTGTTAATCCTCATTTGCCGACAATTTTAGGTCAATTATGCTCAATTATGCTTTTTACTTATGTTATGTTATGAGCTCTCTCTCTCTCTCTCTCTCTCTCTCTCTCTTTCTCTCTCTCTCTCTCTCTGCTCTGATTTTTTTTTCAAAAAAACTTTCTATAACCCCGCCAAGCAAAAAAACGTCAGTAAAAAAAACAAATTTAAAAAAAGAGGATGAGTGAGTTGACTGATCGTAATTAAATTTTTTTGAGGATATGTTTTTTTGATAGATGACATTGATAGATGAATTTTTTGCAATAAATGACGGACAAAACAAAAGAAAATTGAAAATTGAAAATTTACTTTGATTAATTTCTTAATAACTTTTGTACTAATTACTTGTTGTCTAATTTCAACCAGAGTTCATTTTTCAATTTTCCGGCCCACAATTTTTTTTTAACTAAAAACTGATCATTTTTGGCGCTGTTATTCATTCAAGAATTACGATAAAACTTCCGGATCAATTTCTGTTATAATTAAACAGTTCGTTTTCAGTTAACCCAACAAAATCTGAGGATTCTCCAAAAAGTTACACCAAACGTTTTAAAATAGCTTTAGGATGAAATAATTGGTTTTTATCAATTTTTAACATAACATATTCTGGCTATCAACAAACTGATTGATACACAACTGCAACAAACTTTTTTTGATGAAATGAAAATATTATTTTTTGTCAATCAAGTTGTACATATTTTTCGGCTACATAGGCAAGCGCAACGTGATTCAGTTATATGAAAAATTGTCCCGGTCGTTTTTTGAATTTACAAAAAATTGAAACTCAAATTCAAATTATAAGAACTCTTTAGACATCATTCCGGAGAGCCACCTGATTGTGAGTGGATCTAGTGACGGATCTGTCAAACTATTCACAGTAGCTGGAAAGAGCATCGGAACATTCGGACAGCCTAGAGCATGGCGCAGTATCAACTACTACCTTTCTGATAGCTCCAGGGGAACTATTCCCTACAATCTGAAAAGGGCTTCTTCTCCTAGTAGTAATATGATCATGAGGGGAAAGAAGATAGACCATTGGGCCTCACTCAAGACCATCTTCAAAACATCCCAAATCAGTAAGAACGATTTCAACCAGAACTTATGGGGAAGATGAATATAATTAGTGTCATCATTGTTTGTTTTAAGAACTCGAACATAAAAAATATGAGTAGAAGTTTTTATTAGTATTTACAGAAATTTGAAATGATTTCGAAAATTTTTTCAGGTTCAGTTATTGGAGAAGGTAACAAACATACTTTTTAAATTTATGCTCCGTATTATATTGGAACTGTACACAACTTCTTTATATCATAGGGGTATTATTAAACCTCAATCTTTTTCATTGGAGGCGTTTTATAACTTCATCCCGAGTGCACATACGTATTGCAAGAAAAACGACATTTAATTGCTAATTGGTCCGTTTAATAAATTATCAGCTTAATTTATTTGTGTAAGGATTTCTTTTTCATAGCGTGTTGGATCTTGAATCACATATCATGGTCATGCTAATACAAATTTTTGTTGCAAAGACGTCGCAGACATGGCCGGTATTTATATCATTTTAGCACAATTTTTGCTATGAAATTGTTCATCCTCAGAAGTTTCATCACAAATATTCAGAGTGATCTTTTTGGAAATATTTACAGAAAAAATTGTTCTATTTTTCTTTGCTTTTTTCTAGAAAATTCGATGCTCAAATCGAGAGGAGTGAATGCACGTCGTGAAACAGAGCGGAGCAGCGACTCCGATTCGGACGATGGCAAGATCCCGACACTGGACGAGGAAGAACGAGAGGAGTTGTTCAAAGATGATTTCTCTTTCGACATAAGGAGCGATCTGCTAGGTGGGTTTGGCATTTGGATTAGGCTCTATTTTGTATTTGGATTACGAAATATTGCTAAAATCTCATACACCGGTGAAACTTAGTTGAAATATGCTCTAATGGTTCCGTGACAATCAATCCCAGGCAATTCTATGCAATCCTATTTTACATTTTGTGCCAATATACTCTATGCCATTCTGACCTACGCTATTTTACTTGTTACTTTCTTATTGAAGGTCGTCAGTAGGCAAATTTCACGCGCTTTGCTGTTTGTGGGCTCTAATTTTCGTTTGAGTCCTACCTTCTGTTGGCAAGCTCGCACTCGCAACACGTTGGCACGCACGACTGCGGCGATAATAAATTTGCGTTTTTGCTGCTAATCAGCCAATCGTTGTTTCAAGGTCATTTGAGGCTGTTGCGAGCTTGCCAGCAGAAAGTAGCCGTCTATATACAAAAGTTAGAGCTGATTATTGCCTAGAAATTCCGGATATCGCCGAGAGCGACGCATGCCCTCCAGCGACCTTGAATCAGCAATTGGTCAATCAGTCTTTAACTGCTCCTTGCCAATGCTGACTGGGGAATCATTCGAGAAACCAAAACACATTCTAGCTTAAACTTCGACTAGAGTATTCATTTTTAATTTCGCTCAACTCAGACAACCCTGTGTATTACGTATGTAGCAATAGGAATGGCGACAGTTAGTTGCAAGCGACTATTCGTAGTATTTGTAAAAAGCAAGTATTCGCAGCACGCGTCGATTTTTCACATGCAGCATTTATTAGCTGTGAAAGCTCTGATCAGATCAAAAGAATTCAAAGGTATAAAATAAAGAACAAAGAAATTAAAAATCAAAAATGAACGAGAAGCCCTCAAGTTGTTTGAGAATTATACTGTTGCTACAATGTTCAAGGAGGTCAACTAATATGGCTTGGCTTCTTATGGCTTTTTCTTGGCGGCCCTTTCTCCGGCAGTTATTTCTACCAATTTGTTCTCCGACAAAATTTTTTTTTTCTCAGGAATTGGATTTTATTATGAATTTATATTGTGAAAGGTAGGGTGAGCACACCTATCTAGAAAAGCCTACGCCTTCCCTCGGCCGAATTGTTGGATTTTTGTCTTCCGTCTTTTGCGATGATCGTAACAGAAGTCTTACAAGGTCTCTGCACACATCGCTACTTGAATTTATCTATTATTTTTGAAGCGGCTTAGATTGAAATTTTCTCCGACGTGGACCAGTGGTTGTTTTCCTCGTTAGCTTTTCCTGGCTAGCAAATTAAAGGCATACCCGCACCGAAGTTTCATGGGTAATAATCGATTATAATGGATTTTCGTTGACTAAAATGTTGTCTATATAATCGAGCATCATGTCAAATTTAGACCACGTAATCGATTTTTAATCGATTATAATCGATTATTTAGGAAAAATTTAAATCCATTATAATCCATTATAATCGATTATAATCCATTTTTGTTTTCAATATAATGGATTATTTTTTGTACGTAAAATCCATGAAAATTGATTAAATTTTGTAAATAATGACTCTAATTTTTGCAACTTTATGCAAAACTTGAACGAACACGTTGAACTAGTGGCCGCCAATATGTAGTAATTTTCCAAAAAGTGCCCAAAAACAGCATTTTTGACCAGCTCCTCACGTCAACCACCACCCCCCCCCCCGCCCAACGTATCCACCCTCCCTCCCCAACGTACCCCCCATACGTACCCCCCACACAACCCACGACGTACCCCTTTCACGTACCCCCATCCCCCACGTACCCCCCATCACGTACCCCCATCCCCCATCCCCCTCACGTACCGCCATCCCCCATCCCCCCAAACACGACGTACCCCTCTCTCTCTCTAGTTAGGGGACATCTAAATCTAACTGTAGTACGGGTAAGCGTGGGGGAGTTGGTGTGGGATCTATAGGTAAATTTTTGTAATTTTTCATAACTCGATTGAAAATAGGAAAAAAAGAAATTAAGCGAGAGAACAAAAACTAACTTAAGCTTAGCAAAACTCTGAAAAAATGAAAACAACAAAAAGATTTGAATAAACAGATTATATTCCATTATAATCGATTAAAATGGATTATTTTTCTTTTGATAAATTTTTTTGAAAATAATCGACTATAATCGATTATAATCGATTATATTGGGATTTTATTGATTAAAAAAATAATATCATTATAATCCATTTTCAATCGATTATAATCGATTATTTTTGTTATTTTGTAGAGACTGACAATTAAAATCCAATTTAATCGACTATTATCCATGAAACTTCAGCGCGGGTACCGGTATCAGTATTCGCGTTGAGTTGCAAGATATAATTGCAACGAGTGATTCCAAACAAAAGTCGTTTAGATGCTACTAACGTTTGATTTCTCTTATTTTACAGTTAATTCATTTCAATTTGGTATTCAGTTCCCAATTTGAAGTTTTGTATTATTTGCTGAGTTATGTTTCCCCCACAACCAACGCAAAACAATTTACTTTAATTGATTCGCGTCGCTCTTTAACCCTCCCCCCCCCCCCCCCCCCCAAATTAGCAATTAATCGTGCTGCTAACTGTCGCTCGATAATAATTGACCTCTTAAATCAAATACATTTTCTGCTACATCTACTTTTTTTTCATTATCAAAGTTTTTTGCCCACCCGGCTTGAGCTCACATTGAAAATTAGCGAGAAAAAAAGTGGAAAAAAAGCGATCGCCGTCGATGAATTATCGATGTTTCTTGCCACAATAGCAATTTTTATCAATAAATATCGTTAATTTGGCTTACTTTCAGCGATGAAACAGCGGTAAAAAACTTTTCAAAATGAGAAAAAATAGTGCTCTAACAGGATTTCGATCCCCTAACGTTGAGATTTATAGACATGTAGGCTACCTCTGCGCTTTCAATCCTTGAAAAAACTCAAGCTAAAAAGCTTATCAGCTAAATCTCTCATTTGAAAGCTACTAGAATGAGTTTATGCGATGTTTTTCTACGGAATCATTACTGGAATAGCTCTGAAAAATCTTGCAACAAAATTTGAATTATACATGAATCAGCGCTGGAAAATAGCGATCACTGGGATACTACAGAATAAGCGATCATTAACGGTGGAACTTCAACCAGGGCAGTTTTTGCACTTGTTTTTGCTTAATATAGCTGCCCTACCCATAGACTCTTCAAAAAATTAGTTTAAGCTTGGCACTGCTGTATCTGAATTTTTGACTAACTAAAAAAAACCAATTTTACTCAAAATAACAGCTTCCCTGCTGAATTGTTTTGAGGGGTGGGTGCTGATGTTAACTTGATCTACTGGAATCATAACAAAAAGGCATGAACTTGCACTCGATCAAGAAAACTTTAAACGATCATAAAAACTGGGTTATCTAACAGAGTAAAAACGGGCATAAATTCAACTAAATGCTCTCGACTGTTGATTTGTCTAAAATTGAAAACTTCGCATGAAAAGTTTTTCATTACCTATCATTTTGCTGTCATTTTTCTGCTTTCGGCAATAACCACTTTATTAAAACCAAATATTTCCATAACGACAAATAAGGGTACATAAACGTTAAGGAAAGACCTATTTTGATTGTTTAAAATAAAGCCTAGACGAAGATAGGCCCTGAAAATTTTTACCAAAGAGTTTGGCTTAAGACACGTATGGTAAAATGGGACGGTAAATTTGCATAGGCTAGATTGGAATAGAGTAAATTGTGTTGCAACCGCTCTGGTAACCGTTTTGATTACATTAAATTGATATTGCGTAAGTCTGTAAGTCGACGTAACGCTTACGAGAAACAACTCAAAGTATTACAAAAAAAATTCGATGTAATGAATGGTTATATTTGCAATTTGTGAATAGTTAAATTTGGTTATGTAGCAATTTGTAGGAATTGTTTTTACGATAAATTTTTCAAGAAAAAGTTTACTAGATACCAGTCTCGTAATGTTGTAGAAACTTCACTTTTAGGTGCAGCGTATAAGGGAAAAGAGCCGAGCAACAAGCACAAATACATGAGTGGCTTCAAAACGAGAGAGTGTATGGTGGACAGTAGTGATGTGTACCATAATCTACACGTGGACCATGAACTGGAGAAGTTGCCAGATCTGCCCAAACCCCCACTGCTCAAGGTCAGAATAAGATTTGTACACCTGAAGATTTGTAAGTTATGAAGGCCCCTGCACTAACCAAATTCAGGCCGTTAAGTTGTTACTATAACTCTGCAAACGTTAAATTTTTACCGGTGTTGAGAAAAATATCGAAATTAGAGTTTGGAACATTCTGTCCTAATTGTAGCAAAGATTTTGATTCTTGTTTTTTTTTTCAGGAAGTATTGGCCAAACAAAATGCTATTCAGAATGACATCCAGAAAATGAGACAGCGACAAGGGATGCTCAAAGTGGTGAAAATGACAGTGAGCAACGCCAGAATAGGAAAAACAACCAAGGGTCTGCCGTTGAATCCAAAGCCAGCTAAACAGCTGCTGGCGAAATCTTTGGATGCTACCACACTTGATCGCTGCATTCAATCTAACGCCCGGAAATTTGGCAAAAGGGCCTCTATCGAATGAAAACATATCACAAATGCAAAAAAAAAACAGCAAATCTTTTTTTTTCGTCAAATTATTAAATAAATTCAAAGCTCAGATTAAATAATATAAATATTACAGTTCTGTTATTTTCAATTTGCACATGCAGTGCCATTTCATCTTAACATTTGCGTTTTTTGAAAAATTTATAACAGCAAAGTCTAAAAGCCACAGCTTACTTGAATTATCAGCTCCAAAATCAAAGTCAATCCATGAATTTGTATCTCTATGATCATAAATTATATCATCAATATTTGATGGGCGTGATTTTATCTCTAGTAAAGAGAAATAGTGGTTACACCCTCGTCTCCGTGTTCCGTTCCGATCCCTCTCTCCCGTAAGTCTGTCGCCGGCTCCCTCCTTCTCCTTCATTGTTCTCGTCTTCGTTGTTTCCCTCCTGCTCCTCATTCTCGTCCTGCTGATCCCCCTCACCTGTAGGTCTTCGTCTCTTCCGACGTCGTCTTCGTCTCGGAGCCTCCTGTTGTTCCGGAGTAACCTGAGTCTCCCCGGGTGTCACCACCTGAGGATCGTCTCTCGCATAATCTCCGTCCTCGTTTTCCGCTTGGTTCTGACCGTTCTCGTCTCTCGAGACCCGACGTCTTCGACGACGGCGTCTTCTCGGCTGCTCGGGTGGTGTGGCGGCGTCTCCGTCCTCGTGAACCTCAGCTGTGACCTCCACTTCTTTGCTTTCGTCACCTTGTCCCTCAGTTCCCGGCTCTGCTGTTTCTCCCGTGGCCTGTTGGTTCTCAGAGGCTTCTACTTGTTGATCAGTGGTCTGAAGTTGGGTAATATTAATTCAGAATGGACTGAAAACACTTGTTTTGAGATCCCATTAGGTTGAGAAAATCATTATGAAAATTTTTTTTTACCTTGAACACTTTTTAAAACCCTAAATAATGTGGCGAAGGTTTTGAGTTAGGTATTATCGCGTTTGCTGTAGATTCACATTTGAGAACAAAGTTTTAGAATAAAAAAATGGTGTCGAGAAAGAACAGCGACCTGAATACTAAGTTATACTCAGCAGCTTAGCAATCTTCCTGCAACAAAGATTTTATTTTACCTGAGGTGGTTCTTCAGTCTCTATGATGATCTCTGGTTCTTCGTTGTTCTCTCCGCTCTGATTGGTTGCCTCATCTCCCTCTTTTTTGGAGGCACCTGATTGGCTGTCAGATCCACTTATGGACACACTTCTGGCCATAGATCCTGTCGCTCTCTCCACGTAGTCATTCAGGTGCTCGTCCAATTCCTTCAAAACAAAACTTGCTTCTAAGTCAAACGGGTCAATTGAATAATTGAAAATCGTGATGATTTTTTCCATCTCATTGGAGGAGTTATGAACGCTATGCTGTGTTTTCTCCTTTTTGACCAATTTTGAAAAAAATATATCCAGCGGTGCAGCCAAAAAACCTTAGTGTTGGGTGCATAAATAAATTGTGTTGTTTTTTCTATGGCTGTGTTGTTGCTTGCTTGCCTTGATGTCGATGAGGAATATGAGACAGGTGCTGGTCACTTTGTATTTGGCCTCCATCAGAAGCTCATCAACCGGCTCCTCACTCCGCATGCTGATGATTTCACCTAAAATGCAAAAAACAACCAAAGTTATGGCCGTTTGCAGTGCATGTAAATAGAAAGTTCTGGTCATATTATTTAAAACAAGTAAACAGAAAACATTTTTCAAAAGTGAGCCTATTTTTTGCGTATTGGACGAAAATTTTTGATGGAATAAGTAAATTTTATAGGAAATTAATCATAATCGACCACAGTTTTCTTCAAAAAAATTTAACAAAGAAAATTTCGAAACATTTTTATTGACACGGAAGCTCTAAGCGGAGCTCCGAAAACTTGTTTTCCGGATTAAAAGTAAGTTTTAATTCCCTTTAAAAACTCTCATTCAATCTATGTCAAAATTCAAGACAAATTTCAAGCAGAGAGGAGGCAAAAACGAATGAAAACTTAAAGTTGCAAATTCTGAGTCCCGTAAATGTATATCTAATTTCAGACTCTTCCTGAATTAATCTGCAAATTTTTAAATAAAAACTTCACTGTGCGCAAACGTCTGTTTCATAAAATGAACAATTTTATATCTAAAGCGAACCCTTTTTCACGATAGTGTAATACTGCATGTCATCGCTGTCCTGAGCAATTTCAGTGCCGGTGAGGAGGAACTGCTCCTTCACTAGGAAACACAGCACCCGCATCATCACCCTCCTCACTTCGTGTTTATTCTTGAAGGGCAGGTAATTGGACTCCAGCAGCTCCTGTACTTTCATGTCATACTTGGACAGGCGCAGGATCTTCAGAAGGAAGCTCCTAGAATAACCGCAACATGCAAATCATCAAATTCTGTCGCCGCAATGTGCCTCACAGATATGCGGACTGTGGCTACAATTTACACTTGGTCATTTAGAAATTTTGAAAACCAAAAGAGAAAAAACTTAATCTATGAATGACTTCCATTTTTTGCGCAATTAGCTGGCCTCATAAATTCTTCTAAGACCGGCTAATTTTTTGATAGATTTTCTAGCTTTTAAAAACCTTCTGGAAAATTTTGGCATGACGCGTAAAATATTAAAACTTGGAAGTAAAATAGTTCTCCTGAGTTTTTTTCCAATTTATTCTAATAATAATTCTACAACGCGTTTCCAATTTTTGAAACAAAAATTTTTCCTTTGTTTGGTGATTGAAAACAAAATGTATTAGCTGAGACTTCTAGTTTGACTTTCATGGCTTACAAAAAATTTTTCACGTGATTTTATGTTCGTAAACAGGAAGTTATTAAAATTCATTCTTATCGTGCTTTTCGCATTTTTGGCTGGCAACTTACGCGGATCTCCCGATTGTCCTGTCTACAACTTCCACCACAACAACTAACAAAAGTAAGCATCGGAGTTCAAAGACCAGACGACATACGACACGAGAAAAAAAATTAACAAAATGAATAAGGCGAAAAGTAGTATATTGAAAAAATTCAAAAAGAACAGTAGTAAGTTGAAGAAATTGAAAAAGAAGGATAGAAGATGAAATAGAAACCCACAGACCAAATTTATAAACACTAATGTAACTATCCAAATAGGTAAAGATGTGTCAGTTTGGCACCCAAAAACTTGACTTTGAAGAAGGAAATTATCACAAAATAGCAGTTTTTTATATGATACAGTTCAATCTCTTGCTTGTTTTCAAAATTTTGGGGTCTTTCCCATCAAAGCCCCTCCAGCCTAGTGGCAAAAACATCACAGCCCCTCTAGTTTTTGCATAGAACTTTAAAACAATTGCTGTGCTTTCTTTCGTAAGTATTCATGAAACTGTGCATCAATGTTTTGTTAGCTTTGGACTCAGCCCTGCATATATATATTTTTAGTTATGTACAAATAAATAAAGATGCAAAAGTGTTTACACTGTGAACGCGTATTAATTTTTTGTAAATATTTTAATGAGTTGAAACTTACAAGAGGGGCAATAACTGTTATAACTTTTATTTGCAACATGAGATTGGCAAATGTATGCAGTTATGGAATCCCGAAGACCCTCAAATGTCTTCTAGGATTTTAGAAAAAATAAATTCGATCCTTATGAAGGCAGTTGATACTTTTTTCCAAAGCGTTTACTAGTACAATCAGAAAGACATCCACATCCATGGATTGACAATGAAGTAAAAAATGCAGCAGCAAAAAAGCGACGGTTACGACAGGAGTTTTTGTATATTAAAACAACGGATGCCCGGAATAAGTATAGTTCCCAAAATAAAATTGTCAAAAACCTAATCATCCGTAAAAAACGAAAATACTATCAAAATAAACTAATGCTTGAGCCTAATTGTAAAACGAAAACTTTTTTCGAAACTTTTAAGGAAATGAGTGGTAAAGGGAAAAAATCTAAATCTTTAAATCTATCTAACGGGGACGCTGAGCATTTTAACGAATACTTCGCAAATATTGGCGCCAGACTCACACAGAGCAAACCAAACTGCATGGAAAATAATGTTATACGTCAGCAGCAATCGTTGTTTTTGAAAAAAATTGATTTAATTGAAGTCATTGAAGTCATCGAAAGTTTAAAAAATAAATATAGTACAGATTGCTATGATATCAACACTGTTCTCGTCAAGCATTTAAAAACTATACTATCAGGCCCTTTAACTGAAATTTTTAATGACTGCCTAACCTCAGGAATCTATCCAAATTGTTTAAAAATTGCAAAAATTGTTCCAATTTTTAAGGAGGGAGACATCGATGACCCCTCAGACTATAGACCAATTTCGCTTCATCCAGTTCTGGAAAAAAATTTTGAGCGTATAACTTTTAAACGAGCCCAATCATATGTAGACAAGTTTAATATCATCCGAAACACTCAGTTTGGCTTCAGATCAAATAGAAGCACCGTTGACGCCATCCTTACATTGTTGGAAGAAGTTTCAACATCGCTATCGAACAAAAAACTAACTGTTCAGAATAAGTTTTTAGACCTAACAAAGGCTCTTGACACAGTTGATCACTCTAGTCTGTTAATAAAATTGGAACAAATGGGATTCAGAGGGCCTGTCTTAAATCTATTGGAATCTTACCTTGACAATCGCTATCAGTACATTGAAACTAACTCTTTCAAGACCGAACTTAAACTATAATCGTTTGGTGTACCTCAAGGATCTATCCTTGGCCCACTTTTGTTCATATTATACATAAACGATCTACAAATAGCCACAAAAACACAAGGGTACTTTTTTATGCTGATGACACTGTTCTGAAATCTACAAACGACAAAGACTGTATTGCTTTTGCACATAGATAAGCTTTGCTTGAAGTAAATGATTGGTTAGACAAGAACAAACTGACACTGAATGTCAAAAAAACCAAGACCATGAGATACTGTCGGAGCACGAAAACTGAAGAACGACCAGTAAATTATTTTTTAAATGACACCCAAATAGAGGATGTTGAATGTTTTAAATATCTTGGAATTCTCCTTGACTGTAAATTGAATTTTCATCAGCATATTGATAAGGTAAAGAACAAAACTTTGCAATTCTGTGGAGTGTTTTTTCAATTGAGAAAGTTTCAAACTGGACAGCAATTAATATTTGCGTATAAAAGTTACGTGCAACCAATCATCCAATATGGAGTTTTAGTTTATGCAAATACCGACAAAACCAAACTGTTGGAACTGGAAATGAAAATCAGAAGGCTAATCAGAATATTTTTTAATAAACACAGGATGGATTCAATCACTGAAATAATGCATGATAATAAAATATATACCGTAAAAGAATTGTTTGCTTACGAAGTTCTGAAATTAACCGGAAAAATTATTCGAAAAGAGTGCCAAGTTGAACCTTGAGATATTTTTATATCTGAGCAAGAATTGAACATGATATTTTTTCAAAGCGAAAAACAAATCAAATGTTAGCTATAAACAGAAATAAACTCAACAGAGGGTCGATTACACCTAAAATTAGAAAAACGTTCAACTTCGTAATAAATTTTTTTCCCACCTGGGTCAATTTTTTGAAAGGGGCTTCTCGGTTTCAAGTAAATAGTTTTAATCATAAATTTTTGGATAATTACATTCTAGGAAATACGATTTTACTGGGCATGCTTTGAGACTTTTTTTGATCAATAAGTAGAACTTGTGTCTGTTGGTTTCTAAGTTATGGGTAGAAAAGACTACCTGAGAAAACTAATTTAATTAAAAAATTAAAAAAGGTGGGTGCGAATAAAGAGGTTTCACGTTTAAAAAATGGTTACCGGTAGAAAATCCATTGCATTGGATTAAAGAATTTTAGTACTTTTTTTTGTTCTCCGCTTAATGAGACACGGGCCTTGTTGGCTTAATGGTGTTCTCCCGAACGATTCTAATTTGTATTTATAAATTTTTATAAATAACCTTGTAACTAGATATCGTTTGGAAACAATTTATTATTATTATGATTATTAACTACATAGAACCAATTTTTTTTGCCTTTTTCTGGCTTCTAACCCAGTGCTTAAACATTGCAAAATTTTGATTTTTTCCTCTTGTTCAAATACACTCTAATCAATTACTTAATTTTATTATTTCTCATGTTTAAAAGACCTCTGGTTAGTGGGCGGATCTAGGATTTTCTCGAGGGGGGGCGGATTTTCATTAAAAAAATTTCGAGCTCTCCCAAAGCACAAAGCAAAAAAGTCAAAAAAAACGTTTTTGGGCACTTTTTGAAAAACTTTGACAAAAAAATTGCGTTTTTTTAGCGCGCGCTTCCCCTCAAAGTTAGTATATATTGGCACCGAAGGCGCCTTTAGAAAAATTTTAAGGTCGGCCGGCCAAAAATGGATTTCTTAAAAAGTACCAAAGGGGGGACCCTTTGGGTCGGCAGGGGGTCGAATCCCTGAGGATGGGGGCGTCCGCCCCCCCCCCCCCTAAATCCTCCGCCCCTGCTCGGAACCCTCTGTTATGAAATGGTAAGCGTGTAGGTTAAGTTGTATTTTATAGAATTCGGTTATACAATGGGCATCTGGTAAGTAGGTTCTTTTGGTCGGTTTTCTGGTCCAACAATCTAAAATTAGCTTAATTAGTTTTTTGGTATGGCTACGGCGTTTTGTATTTCAGATCAGAGAAACTAACTGAAAATGTCCCTTCAAAAGTGAAAACGTGTTTGTTTTAAAGCTTGGTCACTTTTTAGCACAATTTCAGTTTCCATGGTATTATTGGGGTATGAGTGGGAGGACAGTACAATGCTAAAAAACAACAAAACACTTTGTTTTTTAAAATTAGTTGGTAGAAGTAGAAGTTCAAGATTATCATCAATATTGATAACGAGATCAAAACGAAAGAAGGATCAACAATTCTTCCCTAGAAGTAGACTCCAAAAATTAATTGGAAACTCGACTTTTTGATACAACTTCTCAATTATCAGAAAAAATGTTTTTGCAAGAAGAAGATTTGAAAATAATGCATTTAGATGAGATTGAATCAACAAAAGACTTCATCAAATTTTTATAGAAGCAAATTATGATTTCAAACTCATTAGTGAATAAAATGATAAAATTATTAATGACAAAGAGAAACCAGGAGATTCGAACGTTGTGCCTAGATGCACTTGAAAAACAATAAACTAATGACTATTCGCGATTTCTATACCAACAAAAGCAAGCAATTTTGTCTTGATTTCGATCAATTCAAGCTGAAATGGTTGAAAACAAACGGCAACAATGCATCTTGAACAAACCTCCGAAATTAGGAGTTATCAGTTGATGCACTTAGAATCCTTTGGGATCAATTGATGAGCAAAAGAAACATAAATAATGGGCGTGTTTTGATTTTTAAAATGAGACAAAAGTTTAGCGGCTTTCGCCTTGTTTAATGTCGGCTGGTTTGCCATGCTATGTTTCAATTATATCCTAAGTAGTGCAAATCTCCATGCATATTTCTGAGTCAAATCAGCAACATCTCGCATCAAGCAAAAATTTGGGCTAGGTAATATTTCGTAACAAAAAATTCACGTGCGCTATATCTCTCGTGCCTAACATAAGCGCTGCGGAGCGGATGCGGATGAAGTTTTCAAAAACTACTCATGCCGCGTTACAATTTTTCAGTCAATTTTTTGATGAAGGCCGTTGCTCTGCCAGCCTTCTAAGCCCCTCAAGAGCAATAGCTAATTACATTTCTTCGTCATTTTAATTATAGCAACCTGACACCTTGTAAAGTGGTATTGAAATCAGTAATATCAAAAAGGATGGCTAACTGTTTAAGTGTTTTTCAAATTTCGTGAGTCAAAAGATATTTGACGTTTAATTCCTTTGAGTGTGAAAAGTTTTTGATAATAAACTATTTTGAGAAATTGAGGTAGTTTTTTTTCAATCCAGTGCAAAATAAAAAATCGAAATCCACCATTAGAACTTAAAATCAGGTTCCATTTTTACGCCATTTGAACATTTGTTTCTTGTCAATTCTGAGCGTGAACTTTTTTCTAGACTTTTTAAAAAGTTGTTCCGTCATTAACATTTGATCATTCACCTGTACAATTCGACTTTCTCTGCGGCGTTGATGGAGTATGGCGTGTTTTTGAACACTTCTGGACTGGACATGTGGATTCCCTCGGAGAGATTCCAGCCTATGTCCGCATACTTCTCAATGTCCGTTCTCTCAGCCGCAGTCAGGCCATCACGCTCCACCTGAACAGATAAAGAAACAAAGCCTGCAGACCGTTGGAAACAATTCAATGAACACATAAAAAAATATGTCCAACAGACCGTTGGAAACAAGTCAATGAACGCATAAAAATACTGGCTTTCGTTTTTCCTTCTTAAAGCTATTTGAATTTCTAGAACAACTTATTAAAGGAGATAAAATAAGCCAATTTGAGAAAATTGGATCAATAGGTAAAATTTTTTTATCTCGCTGGGAAATCTAATCATTAAATTCCATTCTGGAAATTAGAAGTCGATCACTTTTTTCGTGATCTTCATAACTTTTCAGTTCGATATTTGACTTGGCCTTCGTTTTAACGAAGGAAATGAAGAAGTGAATTAAGAAGAAATCAAAAGTCAAACCGCGTGAACAATTTTCCTGACTTTTCCTGAAAAAAAAACGAAAAAAAAAAACATCACGAGTACGTTCATCGAATTTTCGAAGCAAGAGTTAACTTGTAATTAACAGTATAGCGAATCTGGTATCTTTCGAAAACAACAGACAAAAAACATCTGTTAGGACCGAAATAATGATAATTGGACGGCAGTCATTGCCGACAAGTTGCAACTACCCCCCCCCCCCCGAGTCGAGATTTTTCACCTAGTTTGAAGCAAGATTTGAGCGGTTTGAGCGGTTGTTTTAGACGATTGCGCTCAAAATCTTGCTTAAAAATGAGCGGTTGAGCAGTTTTTGAACGGTTTATCTAAAAAAACCGCTCAAAAACCCCGCGCAAGATTTGAACGGTTTTGAGCGGTTTATCTAAAAAACCGCGCAAGAGTTGAACGGTTTTGAGCGGTTTATCTAAAAAACCGCGCAAGACTTGAACGTTTTGAGCGGTTTATCTAAAAAACCGCGCAAGATTTGAACGGTTTTGAACGGTTTATCTAAAAAACCGCGCAAGATTTGAACGGTTTTGAGCGGTTTATCTAAAAAACCGCGCAAGATTTGAACGGTTTTGAACGGTTTATCTAAAAAACCGCGCAAGATATGAACGGTTTTGAGCGGTTTATCTAAAAAACCGCGCAAGATTTGAACAGTTTTGAGCGGTTTATCTAAAAAACCGCGCAAGATTTGAACGGTTTTCAGCGGTTTATCTAAAAAACCGCGCAAGATTTGAACGGTTTTGAGCGGTTTATCTAAAAAACCGCGCAAGATTTGAACGGTTTTGAGCGGTTTATCTAAAAAACCGCGCAAGATTTGAACGGTTTTGAACGGTTTATCTAAAAAACCGCGCAAGATTTGAACGGTTTTGAGCGGTTTATCTAAAAAACCGCGCAAGATTTGAACGGTTTTGAGCGGTTTATCTAAAAAACCGCGCAAGATTTGAACGGTTTTGAGCGGTTTATCTAAAAAACCGCGCAAGATTTGAACGGTTTTGAGCGGTTTATCTAAAAAACCGCGCAAGATTTGAACGGTTTTGAGCGGTTTATCTAAAAAACCGCGCAAGATTTGAACGGTTTTGAGCGGTTTATCTAAAAAACCGCGCAAGATTTGAACGGTTTTGAGCGGTTTATCTAAAAAACCGCGCGAGATTTGAACGGTTTTGAACGGTTTATCTAAAAAACCGCGCAAGATTTGAACGGTTTTGAGCGGTTTATCTAAAAAACCGCGCAAGATTTGAACAGTTTTGAGCGGTTTATCTAAAAAACCGCGCAAGATTTGAACGGTTTTGAGCGGTTTATCTAAAAAACCGCGCAAGATTTGAACGGTTTTGAGCGGTTTATCTAAAAAACCGCGCAAGATTTGAACGGTTTTGAGCGGTTTATCTAAAAAACCGCGCAAGATATGAACGGTTTTGAGCGGTTTATCTAAAAAACCGCGCAAGATTTGAACAGTTTTGAGCGGTTTATCTAAAAAACCGCGCAAGATTTGAACGGTTTTGAGCGGTTTATCTAAAAAACCGCGCAAGATTTGAACAGTTTTGAGCGGTTTATCTAAAAAACCGCGCAAGATTTGAACAGTTTTGAGCGGTTTATCTAAAAAACCGCGCAAGATTTGAACGGTTTTGAGCGGTTTATCTAAAAAACCGCGCAAGATTTGAACAGTTTTGAGCGGTTTATCTAAAAAACCGCGCAAGATTTGAACGGTTTTGAGCGGTTTATCTAAAAAACCGCGCAAGATTTGAACGGTTTTGAACGGTTTATCTAAAAAACCGCGCAAGATTTGAACGGTTTTGAGCGGTTTATCTAAAAAACCGCGCAAGATATGAACGGTTTTGAGCGGTTTATCTAAAAAACCGCGCAAGATTTGAACAGTTTTGAGCGGTTTATCTAAAAAACCGCGCAAGATTTGAACGGTTTTGAGCGGTTTATCTAAAAAACCGCGCAAGATTTGAACGGTTTTGAACGGTTTATCTAAAAAACCGCGCAAGATTTGAACGGTTTTGAGCGGTTTATCTAAAAAACCGCGCAAGATTTGAACGGTTTTGAACGGTTTATCTAAAAAACCGCGCAAGATTTGAACGGTTTTGAGCGGTTTATCTAAAAAACCGCGCAAGATTTGAACGGTTTTGAGCGGTTTATCTAAAAAACCGCGCAAGATTTGAACGGTTTTGAGCGGTTTATCTAAAAAACCGCGCAAGATTTGAACGGTTTTGAGCGGTTTATCTAAAAAACCGCGCAAGATTTGAACGGTTTTGAGCGGTTTATCTAAAAAACCGCGCAAGATTTGAACGGTTTTGAGCGGTTTATCTAAAAAACCGCGCAAGATTTGAACGGTTTTGAGCGATTTATCTAAAAAACCGCGCAAGATTTGAACGGTTTTGAGCGGTTTATCTAAAAAACCGCGCAAGATATGAACGGTTTTGAGCGGTTTATCTAAAAAACCGCGCAAGATTTGAACAGTTTTGAGCGGTTTATCTAAAAAACCGCGCAAGATTTGAACGGTTTTGAGCGGTTTATCTAAAAAACCGCGCAAGATTTGAACGGTTTTGAGCGGTTTATCTAAAAAACCGCGCAAGATTTGAACGGTTTTGAGCGGTTTATCTAAAAAACCGCGCAAGATTTGAACGGTTTTGAGCGGTTTATCTAAAAAACCGCGCAAGATTTGAACGGTTTTGAACGGTTTATCTAAAAAACCGCGCAAGATTTGAACGGTTTTGAGTGGTTTATCTAAAAAACCGCGCAAGATTTGAACAGTTTTGAGCGGTTTATCTAAAAAACCGCGCAAGATTTGAACGGTTTTGAGCGGTTTATCTAAAAAACCGCGCAAGATTTGAACGGTTTTGAGCGGTTTATCTAAAAAACCGCGCAAGATTTGAACGGTTTTGAGCGGTTTATCTAAAAAACCGCGCAAGATTTGAACGGTTTTGAGCGGTTTATCTAAAAAACCGCGCAAGATTTGAACGGTTTTGAACGGTTTATCTAAAAAACCGCGCAAGATTTGAACGGTTTTGAGCGGTTTATCTAAAAAACCGCGCAAGATATGAACGGTTTTGAGCGGTTTATCTAAAAAACCGCGCAAGATTTGAACAGTTTTGAGCGGTTTATCTAAAAAACCGCGCAAGATTTGAACGGTTTTGAGCGGTTTATCTAAAAAACCGCGCAAGATTTGAACGGTTTTGAACGGTTTATCTAAAAAACCGCGCAAGATTTGAACGGTTTTGAGCGGTTTATCTAAAAAACCGCGCAAGATTTGAACGGTTTTGAACGGTTTATCTAAAAAACCGCGCAAGATTTGAACGGTTTTGAGCGGTTTATCTAAAAAACCGCGCAAGATTTGAACGGTTTTGAGCGGTTTATCTAAAAAACCGCGCAAGATTTGAACGGTTTTGAGCGGTTTATCTAAAAAACCGCGCAAGATTTGAACGGTTTTGAGCGGTTTATCTAAAAAACCGCGCAAGATTTGAACGGTTTTGAGCGGTTTATCTAAAAAACCGCGCAAGATTTGAACGGTTTTGAGCGGTTTATCTAAAAAACCGCGCAAGATTTGAACGGTTTTGAGCGGTTTATCTAAAAAACCGCGCAAGATTTGAACGGTTTTGAGCGGTTTATCTAAAAAACCGCGCAAGATATGAACGGTTTTGAGCGGTTTATCTAAAAAACCGCGCAAGATTTGAACAGTTTTGAGCGGTTTATCTAAAAAACCGCGCAAGATTTGAACGGTTTTGAGCGGTTTATCTAAAAAACCGCGCAAGATTTGAACGGTTTTGAGCGGTTTATCTAAAAAACCGCGCAAGATTTGAACGGTTTTGAGCGGTTTATCTAAAAAACCGCGCAAGATTTGAACGGTTTTGAGCGGTTTATCTAAAAAACCGCGCAAGATTTGAACGGTTTTGAACGGTTTATCTAAAAAACCGCGCAAGATTTGAACGGTTTTGAGCGGTTTATCTAAAAAACCGCGCAAGATTTGAACAGTTTTGAGCGGTTTATCTAAAAAACCGCGCAAGATTTGAACGGTTTTGAGCGGTTTATCTAAAAAACCGCGCAAGATTTGAACGGTTTTGAGCGGTTTATCTAAAAAACCGCGCAAGATTTGAACGGTTTTGAGCGGTTTATCTAAAAAACCGCGCAAGATTTGAACGGTTTTGAACGGTTTATCTAAAAAACCGCGCAAGATTTGAACGGTTTTGAGCGGTTTATCTAAAAAACCGCGCAAGATTTGAACGGTTTTGAACGGTTTATCTAAAAACCCGCGCAAGATTTGAACGGTTTTGAGCGGTTTATCTAAAAAACCGCGCAAGATTTGAACGGTTTTGAACGGTTTATCTAAAAAACCGCGCAAGATTTGAACGGTTTTGAGCGGTTTATCTAAAAAACCGCGCAAGATTTGAACAGTTTTGAGCGGTTTATCTAAAAAACCGCGCAAGATTTGAACGGTTTTGAGCGGTTTATCTAAAAAACCGCGCAAGATTTGAACGGTTTTGAGCGGTTTATCTAAAAAACCGCGCAAGATTTGAACAGTTTTGAGCGGTTTATCTAAAAAACCGCGCAAGATTTGAACGGTTTTGAGCGGTTTATCTAAAAAACCGCGCAAGATTTGAACA